TATATATATATATATACCTCGCCGGGTGTTACGTTAGCCGGCTGAGTACCGTTAGGGTCGTGGGCGAAGGAGTCGTCCCCAGCCGGTGATGTATTTAACCAAGTAAGGTTATATCTAAATCTAATATACTTCTGGAAGCGAAGACTAGCTCGGGGTCCGGGTGGCGTAACTGGCAAGCGCACCGCACGGCAAGCGGAGGTTGCGGGTTCAAGCCCCGCCCCGGGCCAGTTCTTTTATTTCAGAATGTTCTAAATTTATTTATTTAATTATTATTTATTTAATTATTAATTTAATTAAGAGATGGCACCTAACGCCTACCTCTAATGTCAAATTACTTAGTTCCAATCATTTAAAATAGCCATATTATAGCCCGATAAATTAGGCGATCATTTGGTGTTGTTAAAAAATGAATCTATGAGATTTGAAAATCGCGTAACTCTGGGTTTGCATAAGTCGGGGTATTACTGTATTTCATATGTGCTTTTTGGAATGCTCATACATTTAAAATGTTCCACGGTGAAAAGTTTACCGCACATCAAATTTCTAATATAAAAAGTTTTAATGGTTTTTCTCTATATTTGTCTTCTTTTAGGTCTTCTATTTCTAAAAGTTGAAATTTAAAAAAAAAAAAAAAAATTCAGAATTGAATAAGCAGTTTGCGTGCAACAGAAAATCTGCACATTCAATTTATTTTTCCTATTGTATGTGCAGGAAAAGAGTGGCGGAAATTATTCCAGAGTTTTAAACACCTATAGCAAATATACTCTTTCAGTAATGGTGAATATTTGTTTGTTTATTTATTTAGAGTAAAAACTTTATTTACTAAAAACTCAAGGGATAACATTGAAAGTTTTTAGTAAATAAATGTTCAAAATTAAAATATTTTTCACAATATTTAGCACGTTAGTAACAAGGATGGCTGACTCATGTTGCCACGATGTTTACTCCTTGCAATTAAACTTTTCATTTGAACACCTGGTATTATCAAGCACAATTAATAATTTTCTTATAATGTATGATTAATCTCATTTTAAAAACACAAATAGGTTAAAGATAAAAGTAAACGTGCATATAAAGATCTAAGATCAAGATTACATGATATGCAAATACAAAAGGTAAATAATAAAATAAAATTTGCTTGGTTTTTTTATATAACTTTAGAATTCTTCTTCTTCTTGATATTTAAAAGAAGTATAAACATATATTTTAGGGTAATTTAGATGACATAATGGTAAGGAATGAAAAATCCCTTCCCCGCAGTGCACCTTCCAGCCCGACTGTATCTCGCCCATTATCGTTGCATGTATCCAAAAAAACAAGGGTATTTCTTCATTAACTGTTATATAATGCTAATTTGTAAAATTATTTTAAAATGAACAAAATTTGAAAGTCTAATTATGAAACTAACCTAAATCTTTCCTTTAAATTTCAGATTTATTACTATTTAATTTTAGATTTAAAACAAAATAACAGTAATAATAATAATAATAGTAAATCATAATTTGCAGTACTTTCTGATAAAAGTGTGATTATTGTTGTTATACAGTAAACTTCATGTAAATCTTTAATTTTTTCAAAAAGCGAAATTGTAATTTGTCAGGTGTTTAATTTAATTCCAATGATTTTAAACAGTAGAATGAAGTAATTTTCTAAATTGCATAAATGTATGTAACAAACAGTTTTGAATTATAAAAACAATGCTGTAAACAGATAAGCAGCGTAATTATTGTTTAAAATGTACAAAATTATTTTCACTGACTTAGTTTGAGTCACTTGAGTTTGATTTCAACAAACTGAAGAAGGCTGAAATAACGGCAAAAATATATTTTTTTGTGTACAGGTTGTTTGTTTTTGGAAGGTCTTTATAAACTTTAACAATATATTCTATTCGTTATTAAATGAAAACATTTCGTATAAACAAAGGTCTGAAGTTGCTTCCTTTCTAGGCTACGGCAATTTGAAAAGTTCTCTGTGCAGTCATTGTGCTTCACGTGTATTGCTGTTAGCTTGGTTGTACGTAAAATGAATGTCTGCCAGTTCTGAATTAGCATAACAATTCATTATATTAAAGAATGCTTACAATATCACTTGAAAACAAGACATATCTTGGTATTAATTTTGTATTATTTAAAATTTCTTATAGTTTTGAAAGGAAAAGCTTTTGAACATAAGTTTATATGGAGTTTTTTTATGACCCATATGCTGTTAAAGTTTGGCAAGACCTTTCAAAAACACCTTGTATTTTTGATGATGATTTCACTGTTTCTTTGTTTACAACAATGTTTTTTTTTTGTAATTTAAAACTGTTTGTTATATATTCTTAAACATGAACATTTAAACAAAGAATTGAAAAATAAATCTTATTAATTTGATGATAAATTATATTTCTAATTATTCAATTTTCAGTTTTATAATAAAAGTTTTTTAAATAGGAAAAAGAAATTAAAAAATTTTATTAGAGCATATTAAATAATTTCTAAACTGTAGAAACGAATAATTAGTAAAATAATCCTTTCAAAAATGTAAAAGTGAACTCTTTGATTAATATCTTGAAATGTATGATTACTAAATCACATCATCAGAGCACTGAATAACAGGAGTATGACTAAACAGAATCTTGATTTAATTTGAATAAATACTTAATGAATTTAATTGTAAATTTAATATTAAATGTTAAGATAATGTAGAAAAGAAGAAACTGTACAAAAATTTGAATGCTTTGCTGACATTCTACTTACAATAGTTCTTTAGACTGGAGTATAAGTACTGTACACAGCATAAAACACATCAAAGAACCTTTTAAAAACTCCATTAAATGCTTAATCACTGACAGAAAGACTAACATTTTTGATTCCTTCAATGGATCTTCATCAGATCCAAGGTTTTTGAATTGGAATGTTCACAGAACATAAAGAAGATTTATTGAAGGAATCAAAAACATTAGTCCTTTCGTCCATGATTAAGCATTTATTGGAGTTATGGTTCTTTGTGTTCTGAGATGCTCTGCTGATACTTTGTTTGAAATCCAAAGTTATTTATTTAAATGCAGTAAAAAACTCTGGATTAACCGAAACAGTTTCCAAGAACAAAAACTAGAATGTTTAGCGTTGTACATACTGCAGAGAATAATAATACACAGAGATCAAACTTTCCATGTAACTGGAAATCACTGTCATCTGTCAATTGTGGTACCACAAAATTTGATAATACATGTAACTTATGTTAGATTTTGAGTAAAATAATTTATCTTCGATTACAATAATTTTGTTAGTCTATATATTAATGAAACTTTAAATTCATGCTTTGATGTATTCAAAACTAAGGTTCCCATGGTTTTTACAAGTCCTTAAAATTCCTTAAAAAGTGTTCAATGTTTAATTCACTTTTTTTGCTTTTTTTTTTTAACTATACAATACATAAAGTTTGATTATTGTTTAAAAATATTGCAAAACAAATTCTATTGTATATAATTTTATGAAATTATATACAATACAATATATAGCAACTTGCAGCTATTCTATTTTGCTTCAAGTTTTACTGACAAGAGTGATCAACATGTGATGGGAAACATATCTGCCACAAAATAGATCATACTGAAAGATGATCATACGGCACCGGTCACCTTTTCATGAGAAAATGCCATTTGAATTTTTATAAAATTCCTTAGTGTAAATAGCAAAAAATTTGAATTTCCATTAGCGGAGTTAAATATTAGAAATGGCTATAAACTAACAAATTGTAGATCTCGTCTTGTAATAGTTTTCACTTTTTATTTTTTTCTATCTTCAATTTCTAATATTAAAAAGCTTTAAAACACAAAATTTTGATTTTACTTTTCTGAAATATTTATTATCTTATTTAATAAAACTCAAATGGCATTTTCTTGTGAAGGGATGACCAGTGCCATCTACTTTAAAGGCAAAAAATCATCATTTGATACAATGTATTTTGTGACCGTCTCAACCAAATATGTTTCCTGTCAGATGTGACCTTTCTTTTGAGTATGAGATGTAAACATTTAGCTTTTATTTGTGTAAGGAATTATGGAATAATTTCCTATGTAAGTCAAAGACCATCTGTTTTATCATAGAAGAAAATATATAAATGAATTCTTGTTGGTTTGTCCTTTATATAAATGTTTATTCTTAAACCAATCTGGACCAAAGTTTGTATATTAGACCCTAGAATTGACACTAAGCTATGCAGACACTAAGCTATACACTACCCCAATATTTTGGGATAGTATATAGCTTCTGCATCAGACGTTCTGTCGTTACATATAGTGCCATCTGTTGGCAAAAATCATAAATGCTGATTGTTGTTGACACTTGCTGACAAGCCCTGCCTAAAAGCATCATCACTGTGCAATCATATTAAACCACCATTCTTGATACTTTTTTTTTTATCACACCTTATGTATAAAATGACAGTTATTTTTTGAATATTGCTATTATTCAAGGTGATAATGAGTTTAATCTTTGATTTAAAAAAAAAATTACATTCAATTTTTTCAGACCAATGTAATGTAATTTAGTTTTTGTGTATAATATTACTGCATTAAAAAGCGTATACCGTTAATACTATTTTTACATTTTGATGAAATCTTATTTTCAGTTAAAAAATGTAAAGGAAGAAACAATGAAATCAGCAATAGAAGAATTAAAAACTACCAAAACATTTAGGCATACAAGGTGATTAATATTTTTTTTTCTTTTTATAAAATATACAAGTTTAATTGGAAAAGTTTTAAATTATATATATTAAGAATAAAATTATATAGGGTGATTTCAAAAGATCTTAGACAAACTTTAAAGGTAGGTCAGGAATACAGAAACTATATTTACCTGGGAACAAATAGCCACAAATGCCATCCAAACTTGCTAGAAGTATGGAAAGGAATAATACTTAAGGTATACAACATGTATGGTATACGACATGAGAGTAAATTGTTTTCGACTGCGAATACATTGTCAACTGTATCAGGTTGTAAAGATGAAATTTAGACATTTTGGAAAAAAACTTGATTGACAATTAATTCAACAATGATTACAGTTCAGTCTTGTAGGTATTCACCATTGGTATCAATCATATTTTGTCACCTTTACTGCATATTTTCATTCTCATGAGCATAGAATTACTGGGATTTTCTTTGAAGAAAATGTTGGGTTTGTAATTGAACTTTATATTAGCAATACGGTTCTGCAGAATATGAAATAAATTGTAGTCAGTTGGCACAAAATCTGGGCTGTAAGATGGATGCGGCAGAACCTCCCCTACCCAGACTGGCCAACTTCTCTAAGGTCATCTTTGTTCTACATGCTGGTGAACTTTCATGATGGTATTGCACTTTGTCAATTTTTGGATGAAATTCTTTGAAACAATTTGGTTGTTCACAGTAGAGTTTTTCATGTCTACTGTTGGTAAAAGCAGTTTTATTATGATGCTACCAAACAAATACAGATTATCATCGTTTGCACTCTTGGCTCTTTGACATTTACAACAGCTGGTTCACCTTTGTTAACCCATGAACACTTTAACAAGTGCTTTGCAGATGAGATAGCCTTTATTGCATTGTGGCCCTTTGTGATGAAACACACTTTCATTACACTACTGATATACTTGCATCAGACATTTCAGAATATTTTTCAGTCATTTCTAGAAAAAAATTGAATGTCAAAATTTCACCTTTACAACCTAATAAAATGCACATCAATTTTTGACAAGTAAAAATGAGTGAAAAAGTTCATCCTGGAAATTTGGAAATTGAAAATCTTAATGTTTTTTTTTTTTTTTGTGTGTGTCACAGGAACATAATCAAATAGTAAATGTTGCATGTTGTTGTTTTATATACAGGGTGAGTTTTTTATCTTGAGACAATGAAATAACTTAATTGAATCTCATTATTCTGGAAAAAAGTTTAGACAAAAGTTGTAGGGTTTTGAAGGGGCAATCAATTGGTGGCCTTGGACATGACCTTGACATTCAAGGTCATTTGAAGGTCAAGTCTGTTGTTTTCAATGGGAATACATATTTTTGATCCTGGCAATGGAAAGAGCAGGAAATTTCACAATCAGATATACCCTTGACCTAGGTGAAAGGTCAAGATTATTTTAAGGTTAAACTTAAAAGCTTTTTATAAGGGAAACCATACTTTTTATTACCTCAAAGTCAAAAGTATTAGGTGACGGTAATAAATATTAAATCGGATAGCTGAGAATGTAAAGGTACCATCTTTCTACTCTGATGATTGGCTGAACCCATGAGTGGCATGAATAAAGCTCATCTTAGTGGCCACAGGCACAGAGTTTAAATGAAAAAGTAGTATTTTGATTGCATAAGACAATGTAATATATACTATATGATTTTATTTTAAATAGATTTTTATTTGATGGAAATAATTTAGTAATTAACTTGCTAACACACAAAAAATTTTAAGAATAAGATAACAAATGATGAAATAATTGCTCTTATTAGTAATAAATTTATAGATAGTTATATGGAAATTTTGGTTTATTTTAGATATCATAGTCATACATATATAATTTTGTAAAGATTTAATTTATAACAATCTTTGAATTCGTATTTGTTGCTATTATTTCATTTATAGTCTTCTGAATTTTTTAATTTAGATACGTTTAAAATATTTTACAGGATTCAACATTATAATCTTTTAAATCCTGAAGAAGGCATGAGAGATTCGGAAGATTCGGTTTCGGATAACGAAAGTAGTACTAATTTTAGGCTTCAGCGACTCGATATGGATCTTATGGGTGATTTACAAGATTTGATATTCCGAAGATGTTCTATATCTTTAACCGAAGAATGTACAAATGCCGACGGAAACGTGCAACCTAAAGTCGATACGACACTTGTAAATATTTATACCTTTTGTAATAATTATATTATTCTAAAACTTAAAATTAGAGCGTATGAGGGTTGATAAATAAGATCTTCATTTTTATAAAATTAATTTGAGGAGGAGTAAAATAATGTGACCAGCTTTAAAAGTTTTCAACACTGAACGTCCGACGTTTCGCAATGAAAATGTCGGCCGCAACCTCTCTATTAAAAGAAGTATTGACTTATTGGATATTTTAAGAATTCATTTCTAGAAAATAAATCTAAAATATATTATATAACATATTATAATAAGATAATTGATGATAAATTATATGTAATAATCTGCTGCTGTTTATTATAATTAGCTGAATTTAGGAGAACATATCATAAAGGAAAAAAGTAAATGATATGTTTACAATGTTTAATTATGATAAGAAAATAGTTGATTGTAGCTTAACGTTGTAGTTATTATGTAAGTGATAAATTTCTAAAGGTAAATAATGTCGATAAGATTACATTCTTCTGTATCTAAGATTTAGTTTTACTATCAATTTTTCAAAATACGTGTCAACTAACTTTATTAAATTTATTAAAGTTAATTGTCATTTAACTTTATTAAATTTTTAAAATCACAATACTAATTATATTACCATCATTAATTTTTTTTTTAGACCAGTCTACANAATTAAAATATCCACTTTAAATTAAACTAACTTAAAGAAAGTTTTAATTAACAAGAAAAAATGATTTTGATATAAAAAATCTGTCGTCGTGTAATGAGAATTGTTTTGAGTTTAAGAATTTCGATAACGGAAACGATTATTCATATTTTTTGCCTGTTTGCAACACGTTTTTTCATATATTGCAATTAAATTCTCCATTAATCCGTTGCATCTGAATTCACCACGAAGACTCTCATAGCATAGTTTTGGTTCTTTTAAATTTTTAAGCGTAATTAACGTGTTTAATAGCAAACAAAAAAAAAAGAAATTAACCCCGAAACTGTTGTAAACATCAATTAAAAATCAATTAGGTTTACTCCTAAATTTTTAAATTTACAAGAGAAATCGATGAGTTCTGCGGTAGCCATTTTTGTTTGGAAATTGTTATTCATTTAAATTTTTAAATTTACAAGTTTTGTCATCGGTAGATCAATTGCGAAAAAAAAAAAATTCAAAAAAATATAATCTCGGAAAATTAATAAAAAACAAGAGAAATTAATCGTTTCATTATATTATTAAACTGCTTAATCTACATAAATTTCGACAGTTCGTGACGGAGATATAACCTTAGCCGAGGAGGAACGAGAGTGCGCTTGATAGGTGATTAGGAAGTAAGTGATGATGGACATCGATAGAAAAAAAATTACTACGGAATGATAATTTAATATCGTTACAGGATGTTATGGAAATGGATTTTGTTTTTGGAAGTGATTTTCGTTTCCAGAAGTGTCAAAAGCGATTGGTTCGACGATATCGATAGCGGAGGAGAATCTTTTTCCGGATGGGCAAGCGGAGATGGAAACGAAGCATTATCATCTCGAGAGCAGACAAATATCTCTAATTACTTGTCGGATGGAGAAAGTAGTGGAAATTATCCTTTGGCTGTTGGAATTTCTGAAGGCCATCGGAGTAATTCTTGTTTTTTTTTTTTTTTTTTTTTTTCTTAAATGATCAACACAAAGAGTTTCGCTTTGATCTCTTCTTTCTTCCCCCTCTATTCGTTTTTTTTAGCTTTTGACGTGTCTTATTGGGAATCTGTATCAACTACGATAATAGAAGAGAAAATAGAAAGTGTGTTCGAAGCCCGCAAAATAGACGAGAGTCGTTATTTCTACTTCGATCAAACTGGTATGTACTGTATTTATTAATTAATAATACATGAGAAACTAATCCTTACGATTATTAAATCGCATAAGTTAAACTTGAATTAGTTGTTGAATGTCACATAATAGGTTAATTTATGTATGACAACGGTTAATTCCTTCGTTAATCTTTTACGTAATGATATCACGAAAGAGTTCTAACCTTGAGTTTGGAGTTCTCTCACAATTATTCGCAAAACTGTAAAGAATATTAGATTTTATTAATGTATAATATAAACATTTACAAGTAAGACACAGGTTTATAACAAAGCTGCTTTTTATACTTAATAATCTTTTTTTTTAAATAATTTTCTAAAACTTCATTTATACCATAAAAGTTTGCTATTGAAGAGGAGTATTCTAACGAATTTCTTTAATTTCAATAGGAATGTATAAACTATTTAACGTCACTCCGGCTGATGAAATCTGCGATAATCCTATACAAATAGAATTTCTCGACTTTGAAAATAGTACTTATTTTATTTGTTCTACTCGAGATTCTTTAATAATAGGAAAAATTAATGAGGTAAGTAATCATATTTTATTTTTTAAAATAATGATTTACTAATTACTAACACTTTTTTTTCTTCCCAGGGGATTGAAAAGCGACATCCTTTAGAAAATCTTGAAGACCCAAGATTCGCATGTTTAGAACAGAATGGCAACTTTTTGTTTTATATTGTCAGCAGAAGTAACTAATTCATTTTTTGAACTTTAGTCAAATTCCTTTGAAAAAAACTTAGAGTTTGTTGTTTTTTTTAATAGATATATGCAGATCTTTCAGCTATAACACCAAAACTAGAGAGATCGAAAACGATGAGGAATACTATGTTAAGGAAAATAAATATGCTAGTGCTGTAGCTATGTGGAAAACGTACTCTTATTTCTTATCTTCCTAAATGTTTTTAACCTGTTTTAAAAAAAAAAAAAATACTTTTTAAATAAAATTTTTAAGTCATTACAAAGGTAATTGTATGAATTTTTATTGAAATTAATAAATTAATTATAGCTTAACGAAAGCCACAATAATAAATAAAGGGAGCGATATCGAATATACATTAGTATTAATATGAACAAAAATCATGCAATATCAAATGAATGTAAATAAATTTGATTTACTAAAAGAATCAAAAAAATATTGTAAATTCATTCTATTTCATGTAAAGTTGTTGGAATGGCAATTGTTGTTGCTCGCGCGATGAGGAGGAAGAAAAAAACATGAATAATTTTGTTGTTGTTAACATTATATTCGTGTATCGCATTTTCCACAAGTGTTAATTCAGTATACGAACAAAAACGAAATGTAGATTTTGTAAATACCTTTATTTAATTATCAAAATTTATTTATGTACAGTATATATATTTTCAGTTAAAAAAAAATGAAAAAGTGCCATGCTAATATTTAAGTGTTATCGAAATGGGAAATAGAACTCTGTGATGGTTTTAGATTACGCAAGGCCCTAAGCGAGTGTGGATTTTGAGGCCCTTTTTGTATAATGTATAGCCCAATCACACACAATAGTAGAGTATTAACAAGCATAAATTTGTGAATGGATGTATGATGTTAGGTTGCCTCCTTTGCCCGTAGCTAGGGCTTTGCCTAATGTCGAGGATCCGAAATTTGATTGGGTCGCGATCCTTAAGACTTTATTTTTTTTGCATATGATTTGGGCCCTTGTTACCCGGCGGGTCTGGCTAAACTCTTAGTCCACGAGTCGAAAAGAGTAAAAAGAATTTGGGCCTGTGCCTAAAACCATTACCGACCGAACTATGTTTGTGTGTATCTGGTCACCGAAATTTCATAAATAATTTTGTTTATTCAAACTTATTCTTAAAGAAGAAATATTCTCAATTTTCTTTGTAAAAGATGATTGAAAAGGAAGCAAGTGCCATCTGATATCTTAAAAATTTGTTAAATTATTTAAAGAATAATATATTCAAGTTAGTTAATTATGAAAATTTAATATTGGTTAAATTCTTGGTATTTTAAGTTATTGTGCATTATGAGTATATTAAGTACCTGTATTAAGATAAGTGTGATATTTTAAATATTATTAAAGATATATATTATTTTTTTGTCACAAGAAAATGTATTAATATATAATTTATCTCATGGCTTAAACTACATTCTATATAAAGACATTTTTCTCTGAGATATCATATTCCAGAAAGAATTTTTAAACCTTAAAAAATATGTAGTACTTTTATGAAATAAAATGTCAGTGTTTTGCATTAAACTTGTGCCATTTTATTATTATATTTCCAACACCAAGACACTCATACATATTTTATTAACATTTTATTAGTGTTTCTTTATCCTCCAAACACATACTTTCTTTATATTATCAAAGACTAAGTTGGCTGGACAAGTTAAGATATGGGGATACCATTCTTGGCAGTGTACATATTTATGTCTGTCTGTCGGATGTGGGTAAAGTCCATATGCTTCTGGACAGATGATGATGTCGAGTAGAGGATAGTCATCGTAATCACTTAAAGTTGTTTGAATTTTTTTGGTGGTTGATTCATGATCACTTAAGGTGGTTAGAACTCTTTCAGTAGTTGATTCATCATCATCTAAGGTGGTNAAATACGTGTCAACTAACTTTATTAAATTTATTAAAGTTAATTGTCATTTAACTTTATTAAATTTTTAAAATCACAATACTAATTATATTACCATCATTAATTTTTTTTTTAGAACCAGTCTACAAATGCAACTAAATTACCTCCACCCATACCAGCACCTAGAACTAAACGGACTATAAGGGCAGCGACAACTAATGGAAAAATTGCCCAGAATACCTCTTCGATTGATACTCCGTTGATAAATCTCGATCTTTCCGAAGATATTTTTGATCCACTACAGGAAGGTTATAAAGAAGCTGTCGTGGATAATAAATCAATTTCCAATATCTTAAATACCATTCCTACACTTTCTTCAAGTCCCACTTCTCAGCAATCATTGGGAACTTTCCTGGATCAAACTATAATGCAGTCACCAGTGCCATCATCATCATGTAATAGTTATTCTGTACACAGTACTCATCAACCTCATTCTTCAAATCAAATATTTGATCAAAGAAGCAACATGTTTGCTGCCTCTAACAACCCATTTATCCCTTATCAACCGGTCGATGTTGCGAATTTATCTAAGAGCCAAGATACGTCGACTCACAAATCCAACATTACCACTCCAACTCAAGATAGTAAGTCTATGTTAGTTTTAGATCATGCTAGTTCCACTGATGATCCGTTTGCAGATTTAGTTAATTGGCAAGTTAGCAATCTATCAAAAGCAAGCGAAAATAAATCTGTTCCATCTTCTTGGGAACAATTTCAATAAATTTCATTTAGTTACCATGTTCGAAAAGAGTTTTTCAGATCTTTTCATGGTGCTATTGTAAGATAACTTGTAAATTAATTGATAAATTGTAAAAAAAACAAAAATATGAGCAGTTATACAGTTACATGTATATATACACGTGTATAGTATATATACATATCATTTCTGATCCGAAGATTATATTTAATTAGTACATGTTATGCTTATTTCGAACATTGTCAGAATCAACACAAAATTATCGTGCAGTATTTTTCTTATACAACATTATAATGAGCACAAAATATATTTTTTTAGTATATTTTTAATTGATTAATTTACAGTATCTTGAGCGTTATAAAATTTGTTTTATAATTTAAAAAATGAAATTCTAGTCAATATTCTATTTTTATTTGATGTAAAATACTGGCTTCTTTTTATCCAAATTATTTTAAAATGTATTTAAAAAGTATATATATCATAATTATCTTTGTAAATTTCAAAATAACAAGAAGATATATTAATCAAATCTGTTTAAACGAAGTATAATGCCATAAATAAATTTTTTATTACAACTCGAATAACAGCAATATAATCCTAAACAACAGAATCTTTATACATACGAAAGAAGAATTTAATATTATTTTAGATACGTACATTTGACGGTCCGAAATTTATCCATTTTGAAACTGGGACAGATTTTTCTCTATCGTCTCTCTCGTAAATGCTATTGTTGACTTTTACAGTTTAATAATGAAAATCATAATTTAGTAATTTTAAATCCTATTATTATTTTAAGGTTTATCTGTTTTAAAATTGTGGTTTAGATTTAATATATAAAACTGAGTTTACATTACCAAATACAAGTCTCTCTGGTTATTTTTGAGCTAAATAAAAGCTAATTTAATTAATGAGTTAAAGGAATTTAATCTAAAGTAAGATAAATAAGTTTACTTTTAGGCCAAATTCTGAGAATTTAATTTGCCTTAGTAGTTTCAAAATAACCTGGTAATTTAGCTTAAGCCCTAATCTATTGTCAAACTTAGTCTGTACAGCCGAGTTATTTTCGGGCTGCGTTAAAGTCAATTTAATTGTTGGAATTTGGCCTAAAAGTAGGCAGTTGTGTCCGTTGTCTGCCTTAAAGATACATACAGTGTTCTATCCAATTTTATTAATTAATTTAATTAGCCTTAATAACTAGATACACTTATATTCAGTAATAGTACTTTAGTTATAGTCTATGTAAAATTTCATTTATTTTATTTCAGATAGTTTATATTGTCTGTATATGTACATACATGTATACAGTATATATACATATATCACACACAATAAACTATACTGTATTTATTCTAATAAATAGCACATTTACAAGCTGAAAAAGTTAGAATGCTGTTTATTAGAATAAATACAGTATATAACATTTTTTTAATTCTTATTTTATATAAAGAGTCTGTTGTAAAAATTAAAATATTTTATATTTAAAAAAAAAAAAAAANCTCAGTAGTTGATTCATCATATAAGGTGGTTAGAACTCTCTCAGTAGTTGATTCATCATATAAGGTGGTTAGAACTCTCTCAGTAGTTGATTCATCATATAAGGTGGTTAGAACTCTCTCAGTAGTTGATTCATCATATAAGGTGGTTAGAACTCTCTCAGTAGTTGATTCATCATATAAGGTGGTTAGAACTCTCTCAGTAGTTGATTCATCATATAAGGTGGTTAGAACTCTCTCAGTAGTTGATTCATCATATAAGGTGGTTAGAACTCTCTCAGTAGTTGATTCATCATATAAGGTGGTTAGAACTCTCTCAGTAGTTGATTCATCATATAAGGTGGTTAGAACTCTCTCAGTAGTTGATTCATCATATAAGGTGGTTAGAACTCTCTCAGTAGTTGATTCATCATATAAGGTGGTTAGAACTCTCTCAGTAGTTGATTCATCATATAAGGTGGTTAGAACTCTCTCAGTAGTTGATTCATCATATAAGGTGGTTAGAACTCTCTCAGTAGTTGATTCATCATATAAGGTGGTTAGAACTCTCTCAGTAGTTGATTCATCATATAAGGTGGTTAGAACTCTCTCAGTAGTTGATTCATCATATAAGGTGGTTAGAACTCTCTCAGTAGTTGATTCATCATATAAGGTGGTTAGAACTCTCTCAGTAGTTGATTCATCATATAAGGTGGTTAGAACTCTCTCAGTAGTTGATTCATCATATAAGGTGGTTAGAACTCTCTCAGTAGTTGATTCATCATATAAGGTGGTTAGAACTCTCTCAGTAGTTGATTCATCATATAAGGTGGTTAGAACTCTCTCAGTAGTTGATTCATCATATAAGGTGGTTAGAACTCTCTCAGTAGTTGATTCATCATATAAGGTGGTTAGAACTCTCTCAGTAGTTGATTCATCATATAAGGTGGTTAGAACTCTCTCAGTAGTTGATTCATCATATAAGGTGGTTAGAACTCTCTCAGTAGTTGATTCATCATATAAGGTGGTTAGAACTCTCTCAGTAGTTGATTCATCATATAAGGTGGTTAGAACTCTCTCAGTAGTTGATTCATCATATAAGGTGGTTAGAACTCTCTCAGTAGTTGATTCATCATATAAGGTGGTTAGAACTCTCTCAGTAGTTGATTCATCATATAAGGTGGTTAGAACTCTCTCAGTAGTTGATTCATCATATAAGGTGGTTAGAACTCTCTCAGTAGTTGATTCATCATATAAGGTGGTTAGAACTCTCTCAGTAGTTGATTCATCATATAAGGTGGTTAGAACTCTCTCAGTAGTTGATTCATCATATAAGGTGGTTAGAACTCTCTCAGTAGTTGATTCATCATATAAGGTGGTTAGAACTCTCTCAGTAGTTGATTCATCATATAAGGTGGTTAGAACTCTCTCAGTAGTTGATTCATCATATAAGGTGGTTAGAACTCTCTCAGTAGTTGATTCATCATATAAGGTGGTTAGAACTCTCTCAGTAGTTGATTCATCATATAAGGTGGTTAGAACTCTCTCAGTAGTTGATTCATCATATAAGGTGGTTAGAACTCTCTCAGTAGTTGATTCATCATATAAGGTGGTTAGAACTCTCTCAGTAGTTGATTCATCATATAAGGTGGTTAGAACTCTCTCAGTAGTTGATTCATCATATAAGGTGGTTAGAACTCTCTCAGTAGTTGATTCATCATATAAGGTGGTTAGAACTCTCTCAGTAGTTGATTCATCATATAAGGTGGTTAGAACTCTCTCAGTAGTTGATTCATCATATAAGGTGGTTAGAACTCTCTCAGTAGTTGATTCATCATATAAGGTGGTTAGAACTCTCTCAGTAGTTGATTCATCATATAAGGTGGTTAGAACTCTCTCAGTAGTTGATTCATCATATAAGGTGGTTAGAACTCTCTCAGTAGTTGATTCATCATATAAGGTGGTTAGAACTCTCTCAGTAGTTGATTCATCATATAAGGTGGTTAGAACTCTCTCAGTAGTTGATTCATCATATAAGGTGGTTAGAACTCTCTCAGTAGTTGAATCAGTAGTTGATTCATGATCACTTAAGGTTGTTAGAAGTTTTTCAATAGTTGAATCAGTTTTGTTGACATCACCTTCAGTAGTTAGTTTAGATGTTGGCCGAGTAGACATTAATGAAGTATAATGTATGCTACTTATCTCGGGTACTGTTGTAGAATTGATATCCAATATCAAATCTGTTATATTTACAGGTTTACCAGGCTCTGTTGTCCAATCCTGCTCGGAAACAGACACATTGACCGTTCTTGTAGCACCGGTGATGAAATCAGATACCACATTAGTAACATTTGATGCAGAATCTGTTACATTTCCATTTGTATTATTAGTTATCCATTTAGATTCATTAAACGTGGTAACATTATAATCTACCGGACGTGGCGTTGTATTATTGAGAGTTATATTTACAAAAACACCACTGACTGTATATTGTGTGTGTGTACTGTTAGCAGGCATCTCAGTCTTGTCTACAGGAAAAAAATGAATTATTGCATTACAATAATTAATTTGTTTAATTAAACTTCAACTGTTACTTACCTTCTTGTAATCTATCTCCACATTTGACTTTGGAGCGAGTAAAACAGCTTCGTCTGTTGACATCAAACAGCATTTGGTCAGGACATGTTTGTAAAGAGCTTTTATTACCCATACAGACATAGTATTTTTTACATTGATGAGGATGGGGGAAATATCCTCGTGGTCGAGGACAGATAAATTCTCCACCAATACTCCAAACTGAAATAAGCGAATGTTATTAGAGAGATTGTTCTTTATGTCTACCAGCTATTTAATATTAAATACTCACTACATAAGAGCAGCAATGAGGTGATTTTGATAGAAGACATGGTGCTGAACGGGATGGTGTGACTTGTTAACAGGATTTAAGATGGAGCGACTCGATAACACAGGATGAAGTGGATTCTTATCGTAGAAACTTGCTATTTATTTACTTTATCAGTTAATATCTACACAGGTACCGGATATTACAGATCTTTATTTCGAGAAAACTAAAGTGTAATTAATGACGAAATTTATTTCGCCATTAATATTTCTTCTTAATCTTAATCTTTTATGGATATTTAATCATAATTAATGTCTTTAATTATTTTTCTCTGAACTATAAACATTTCTCCCAAGTTTAATCCTGTTTTTATAATTGTAAAAAGTTTTTTTTTTAAAATACCTTTAAGTATAATATCCGTGTTGTATGATCCCATCTGAATTTTAGAACGAATCTAGTTAATCCGTAAGTTATTTTTTGATCGTTAATTTTTTTAAGAGCCCGCAGCGGATTATTTGAAGCCCTGGGCGCAATTTTGTTATAAAAACCTTTCATGTAAAAGTGGTTTTTATATTATAAAGGCAATAAAATTCTCAAATAATGATGTTTTAAACGTTCGCTAAATTTTAAAGGAGTGTTATCTTTGTGCTATGCAAGTTTTGAGGCCCTTCGAGATGACCAGGCCCTAGTGCGCCTGTTGGGTAATCGTAGGCTTGCCAACTACTCGCCTGGAGGATTTCCCCCAAAAAATCGGTCACAATATTTATTCAACAATTATATTATATATATACATTTACAGTCGACCCCCTATAACACTGTTGATTATTTCGTTTTATATGAATTCCATGTACGAGTCACTTAGATTTTACAAATACGTGTGCCGGGCTGTGAACGGCTGACGTAGATCGGTTCAACTGAAGATCATATTGTTTTATATATATGTTTTACGCTGCTAAACGTTTTATACGACTGTTTTCGAAATCGTAATATTTATGGATGCAAGTTAAAGCACGATCATAAACTTCTCTTGCATCCAAAATAAATTTCTTTTGTTGACTACTACTGAAGTTTTTAAGCAAACTTAAGCATTGTGAATAACATGACATAAACAATTCGCCTTTAAAATATATATATTTAACNATATAGATATATTTCGATATATTTCACTAAAATTAATATTAAATCTATTGTATTTTTATTGTTCAATGTCATATTAACAATTGATCTATCAAGATGATAATTCGGTGTATTCAGATGACGTTAAATACATTTATAATTTTAAAAAATTCTAATAATTTCGAAAGATAATCCGTTGGAGAAGGGGGAAAATTCAATAATATTATTATATATTTTGAGAAAATTTCATTATTCACCACAACTTTTAGATTTTAATGAATATTCATTGTCCTAATTGGCCATAGGCACAAAATTTATGAAGATTTCACGATTATAACTTACGTTAATTTGTATGCTTCTAAAAATTAAAGTAAATCACGTTCTTCTTATAAAGGTACTGTACATTCAAATAACAATCGTCTACTTCGTGCTGTTTTTTGGGGGGCAGCTTTTCGCGATCATCTTGTCTTCTTTTGCATATTCTAATGGTCCCATTTATTTCGGAAAGAAGAAGTCTAAGATTTTGCTCATTTGCTATAAAAATTAGCAAAATCTTAATCAAATTCTCTCGAATTATACAAACAAACTTTAAAAAGCGAGGAAAATACTGGCAAAACTTAAAACATAAGCGATCCATTAAGTGAACAAAACGTGCCAGAGAATCGAACCCTTAAAATTAAATTTTAAATAAATATTTCAAAGTAAAAATAACAATGCAATTCAATGTGCTCATTCGCAAGTGGCCCTAATTTTTGACGGGCAGATTGCTTATCTCACGCATTGAATTATGAATTTTATTATTCATCAGTGTTTTTTATGATAATGAATATGAATAACAAATTAATCATTTATAACAATCAAAATAAAAGGCCGGATGGCCGAGTGGTCAAGGTGGCAGCCTCCTTCTCTGGGGGACCTGGGATTGAATCCGGACGGGTCAAGGAATCCCCAGGAATTTTTCGGCGGATGGTTCATTCGGATATGTTGGGCCCCAACACCCGGTCGCCCCATTGTGGGCTCTGCCATAAAAGGCCCTCCCAGCGACCAGAAGAGTAAAAAAAACAATCAAAATATTCTGAACTTGAACATTTTATTTTAAATTTTATATTTGAATTTTCGCTGCCCTATCAGAGTTCGACAATCAGACGTCAAAATACCATTTACAAAAACAATTTACATTACTTACCGCCAAACAAACTTACAAACTATTATTTCTTTTTTACTGTATATGGTACTTGAACTCCTAGTACAGTCCGTACTTAGGGTATCGAGGAAAGGAGGCACCACACAACGAGCTAGAGTATTTTACATAGAGTAGCTGTAATCTTAGATATAACGCTCTTGGTGGTAACGACGGATACTATCGACCGCCATTTTAATTAAATCAAAAAATTGAGGTCTGTACAACGTGTTGGGCAGGATTGTTACTTTATAATTACTTTATAATCTCTTTTTTCATCTAAATCTAGATTATTTTTATGCACTTAGATTTGAGATTTAGGCAATTACAAAAGGGATATAAATCTAGATTGTTTCATTATTAATTTAACTACTGTATTTTCTAGATTTTAAATAAAGGCAAGATCAGAGTTTAAATCGGTAAGTGTAGTACTTTACTTTTAATATACCAATATTTTTATATTATAAGTACGATCCGGGTCTTGAAGATCAGTTGTCACTTTTACTCTCAGCTATGTGATTGTTTATTTATAGTGTGCTTAGGTCAATCTGATCCATGTACTCAGTACGTTGATTTTTTTCTTAATTAATGTGTTTTCTTTTGCAGATTGTAAATAGTGTTCTGATGTTTTTATTATAATTATAGTTTTCGTGAAAATTTTGGTTTCAACTTATAAAATTACAATGAAAAACTACAGTTAGACCTTTTTCATGTATTAACCACATTGTTGGAGTTAAAATCTTTCCAAAAGGAACTAATAATTATAACAAATGAAAGAAGTGTTGCATTTGTCCATTAAAAATGGATAAAGAAAACATGCAGTAAGTACAAGAGACTGCTATGTACAAACTGCACCATTAAGATGTGTACAAATTATGCATGACATGCATCATTTTGGGTTAAAACTCTTCCTTTCCTTTGCATATCTTTACACAACGATTCATAATATTCTAGCTCGTTGCCTTTACACAGCACACAAATGGCATGCTTATGACTAAAAATAAAATGGCAGACGTGTATTTAATTTTTTTTAAACATGGCGTCACTACAGCTACTCTATGTAGAATATTCTAGTTCATTGTTACCACAGAAATTTTTCATTGCCTGATTTGCCATGGCTGGTTCAGTGCACTATTTGCAGCTGAATCAGTCAACAAAAGGAGGCTCCTATAATAAATGGAAGAATTAAAATATTTGCTTGTGTATAAGACTGAAGACTACTGAAAGGCCATGCTGGACATTGTTCACATTCTTTCACATCAGGTCTACACATAATATTGTTATATAAAAGACTTAACTTTTTAAAATTGCTTTCTTTAATAATGTAAAATCAAATTTGCAACAATTAATTTTATGTAATAAAATTATATCGAAATTATTCTAAGATAAACGAAAAAAAATTATTGTTACACCTATAATGTAACTAATTACATAGACAGCTGGATGGCCGAGCAGTCAGGGTGGAACCTACTACTGTGGGAACACGAGATCGAATCCGGACAGGTCAAAAATTCCCCAGGCATTTTTCAGAGGGGTGGTCCAACCTTGGAGTCCAGAGTAGAGAGAGTCAGATTAACTATTATGTCTCCCTCTACTCTGGATCCTGGTTCAGAAATATTCACGAGTGCCATATCCATGGGCCTTGTCTCCTGTCTTTAATAGGAGACAAAGGTCCAATGCTTTCGTTGTGGACCAAGTCAAATGTACGATAAAAGACATTTTTAATGCACACACGGATTTCTGAATAGTATTACTTGCATTTCTGAATTCATGATGAATTTTGAGTTACCTTATTGGAAGGCTTACCATTATTATCGTCACCATCATCAGAAAGAATACATTTACTAATAAATAAACGCATGAAATTTTATTTTACAATATTTCTACATATTGAAAAGTTTGTATGAATGAAATTTATCTAATAAATTTCAACAATATTTAAAAACTAACAATCGACATTTTTCCTAAGATCACACGTAAACTTTGACTTATTGAAGAACAATCCGGGAGGACAGAGTCGTTTCAATGGAGGAAAACCTTTATAACATTGGTAATAGGCGGCGCAGTTATTTTTATCTGGGATTCTGCAGTTACATTCACTTGGACAAATTGGTTTTTCTGTAGTGATTATAGGTTCTGCAGTTGTTATCTCTGTGATCAAAGTTGTAGTCTCATTACTGTTCCTTAAAGTTGTTGTTGGTTCAGTTTGTTTCTCAGTTGTTGTTGGTTCAGTTTCTTTTTCAGTTGTGGTTGGTTCAGTTTCTTTCTCGGTTGTTGTTGGTTCAGTTTCTTTTTCAGTTGTGGTTGGTTCAGTTTTTTTCTCGGTTGTCGTTGGTTCAGTTTCTTTTTCGGTTGTGGTTGGTTCAGTTTCTTTCTCGGTTGTGTTCAGTTTCTTTTTCGGTTGTGGTTGGTTCAGTTTCTTTCTCGGTTGTGGTTGGTTCAGTTTCTTTCTCGGTTGTGGTTGGTTCAGTTTCTTTCTCGGTTGTCGTTGGTTCAGTTTCTTTCTCGGTTGTCGTTAGTTCAGTTTCTTTTTCGGTTGTGGTTGGTTCAGTTTCTTTCTCGGTTGTCGTTGGTTCAGTTTCTTTCTCGGTTGTCGTTGGTTCAGTTTTTTTCTCGGTTGTCGTTGGTTCAGTTTCTTTTTCGGTTGTGGTTGGTTCAGTTTCTTTCTCGGTTGTCGTTGGTTCAGTTTCTTTCTCGGTTGTCGTTGGTTCAGTTTTTTTCTCGGTTGTCGTTGGTTCAGTTTCTTTCTCAGTTGTGGTTGGTTCTGTTTCTTTCTCAGTTGTTGTTGGTTCTGTTTCTTTCTCAGTTGTGGTTGGTTCAGTTTCTTTCTCAGTTGTTGTTGGTTCAGTTTCTTTTTCAGTTGTGGTTGGTTCTGTTTCTTTTTCAGTTGTGGTTGGTTCAGTTACCTTTTTAGTTGTAGTAAGTTCGGTTTCTTTCTCGGTTGTAGTGGATTCTGTCACTGTTTCGATTGTAGGTGGAACAGTTGTAACTGAAAACATATAATTATTGTGATTATAGAATTTATACTTTTAACTAATCATTTTAAATATATATATAACAGAAAGACCTAACTTATTATACATTTCCTTATACAGTTATTTAAGTTAAATACTTATTAAAGAAACTATATTCTAATGAAGACCAGTATAAATCTGTTATATTTTTATAAAAAGTAGCATCCCATTAGTCGTATGATCTTAAAACAAGTTTATTATCAAAATACATTTTCCCCTTTTCCACCCTGTGGGGCTGGCGAGGAACGAGGCTTGACATAACTGGATGAACCACCATCCGAAAAATTCCTGAACTTTTTCGACCCGTCCAAATTCGATTCCGGGTCCCCCCAGGATGGTAGGCTGCCACCTAGACAGCCCGGCCAACCAGGCTTATTATTACAATACTGGATACACTTAGTCAACATCACATTGAACTGGCATATTTTTAGCCATGTTTTCCTCTCTGAAACGCTCATAAAAATCTGTAAATTTCAAAGTGTATTTTACTTTTGATATGATAAATGATAAATGCACTTCTCAATGATAAAAAAAATTGACTTTAAGATTCGATAGATGTAATGTTAAACAGAGTTTGAACGATAATAATTGTACAAAGTTACATTGGCTGCAGATGTTGTTGCATAATGTGTTGCGTTAAACCGTAGCCTACAAGATAAAGACAGGCCAGGAAATAGAAAGGAATTCTGCCAGTTTGGTTTTAGTTCTTTGAAACGCCTGTAGGTTTGTTTTTTTAATTTCCTATTTCACAGAGAAAGTTGATAGAATCAGTCATGGGCAGACTTAGGAAGCTGTGCAGGGCTAAACTGCACCCCTTTCTGATGGTTTCCCCAGTAAAACCGAGTACTTTTTTAGACAGTAAAAATATTTGTATGGCACACATACACACACAGTTTGCTTTCTGCATCCCTCCAAAGATTTTTCGATCTTCTACTGACACCAGTCAGTTAAATACATCATTAATATTAATATTAAACATTTTCACTCGGGATTGAATCTAATAACATTTAAAGATATTATTAGATTCTAGTGAGATGCTGATTTGAATGTCATTTGAATATGATCCTTATACCCCACCATTCAGTTCTTTTGTGCCACAGTTTTTTGTTATAAACACAATCGTCGTATAATAACTAATATTTACCTTTACAATCGACATTAGTTGGGTGATCACAAGTCATCTTTTCCGGATTATAGTACAGTCCAACAGGACATTTTCTCAAACAAGCTTTGTTGTCAATGCAACTGTAAAACGAGTTGCAGTCATTAGGATTTGGAATACGGCATACGTCAGGTGGACAAGTTATGAAAGGATCTTCTTCACACGGAACTAAAGGTGGAACAACAGGCTTACCTAATAGAAAAAATATAATTAAAATTTCAGGTATTTGTTCAAGAAGTTCGGAGAAATTCAAGTTAAACTTGAACTTTGACATACCAAGGTATATTTTGTATGTTCCAAGAGAATACTAAGATATACCAAGGAATGTTCAATATTTACTTTAATATTTGTACATACTGTTTGTTGGTATTTCGCAGTTATTATTTATTAGACAGAATTACTGTATTTCAAAATAAGATAAAAGTAAATATTAATTACCACAATCGTCAACATTTTCCGGCCAATCGCAAACTTTCAGAATGGGGTTGAAAACTAATGACAATGGACATCGTTTCAGAGAAGGAATCCAGTGTGAACAATGGTAGAAACTACTACAGTCGTCTAGATTTGGGAAAAATCCAGATTCAGATGGACAAGTCCAATTTACAGGACGAATTGTTGGAGTTGGCGTCGGAGTAATTGTTGTAGTAACTACAATAAAATATTTTATCTGTAAACACCATATATTATGCAAATTATTAAATAACCATACCTTGGCAGTCCGTGTTTTCTAAGAAATCACATGTCATTTTTTCTTTATTATAATACAGACCGGGAGAGCAAAACTTTTTGCACGCCGTACCGTCTTCCAAACATTGATAAAATGAAGTGCAGTCTTTATAATTTGGCACCCTACATGCGCAGGGAGGACATTTGATTCCAGGAGTAACGTCACAGGTACGATTGTGAGTTCCAGGCTCTAAATGACATTAAATTATATGTTGTATTTTACAAATAAACTAGTAAAATAAATTATATATATTAGAAAATAATAATAATAATAATAATAAAACCTTTTTCGCAGTTGGTGTTCCATGGCCAGTCACAAACTTCGAGTTCGGGATTAAAATTTAGCGGATTCGGACAATTTTTACGATGTGCCTTTCCGTGATCACAGTGAATGAAAGACGAGCAATTGTTCGGATCAGGAAACAAACCCGTTGACTCATTACAAATTGGATCTTTTATTATTTCACCTACAATAATCATTTCCAATTAGAACTGTAATAATTCTATTGACACAAGATTTTTCATCATTATGTCAAAGAACATTTTTATAGGACAGAAAATTGCTTAGTGTTCATATTGATTCTAGCCAATTGTGGACAAATCAGAACAATTTAAATATTAAGATCAGACTCTAATGGATCCAATCGAAACAATACAGTGGCAATAGGATTGTAAATTCCCGGACGAAAAGAAATTTTTATTCTAAAAGGGAATTGTTATTGTACCGTACCGATTTTACAATTAACAATAATGTGCAGTGTAATTATTTTTATCAGTATAATTTTTATGTAATTGTTTTATTTTTAACGATCCCAATCGGGTCCCACTTTGCTAAGGTGTTCTATGTCTTATATCCATGGTGACTATGAATTCTATATTGCTCTCGAGGCAACATGAAATTCACTTTCTCAAAGCAATAAAGACTCATAATATTGGTTAGCTATCCCGGCATTTATTAATTTAGTGAATCTATAAAGAATTTTTATAAATTACATTCTCTGGCACCTGTTTACTTGCAAACAATTATAGTTCTTTGATATGTATCTAATGGAAATTCAATTCTTTTCAATTGCTTTTTAGAGCAATTTATAAATTCTACAATTTTTCCATGAAACTAAAACTTTATACAAGCATCCTTTCTTACCATATTCTGTACGAGCCAGATAGCCGAGGCAGAAAGGAACCAACTTGGTTCTCTGGAAAGACCTGCCTTCCAGAGAACCAAGTTATTTTTTGACGCTTGGACAACCGAGGCGTTTAATTAAAGCTTCAGTCTACCACTCTGGGGACCAAAATATCAAATCTAAGTGAACAACTATCCGGTAATTTTTAAGAATTGTTATGTCCCCACCATTCACCGCCGGGTGTTGCCATTATAGACCTGGCCGAATCCACAATAAATACGAAAATCAAAGGGTCTCTTAGTGATATAGAGCAAAAGTGCTAAAAAGGGGGGGGCTTAATTTAATTTTAAATTGAAGATATGCTGTATTAATGAAGTTATGTTAGAGTTTTTTCTTCATTATTTGGTTGATTTTATTGAAGCATCCCCATAGTCATAATAAGCGTGAAAAAATATCACACAGAACCCACAAGATTAATTAAAAAATATAAAAAATTAAAAAATTAATATAGAATATCAGCAGCTGAATTTAATTGAAAATTGATATTTTTATAGTAATAATCTTACCACATTTTCCTGTCGGCAATGAGCAAATTTCTTGGTCTGCATCGAATTCAAGATTAGCAGGACAGTCTTTAATATATGCAATTCCGTGAGAACAGTGTATAAATTTATGGCAATCGGAAGGAAGGGGAAACAGTCCGTTGGGTTCCAAACACACAGACGGATCAGCTATGTGAGGGCAATCCACTTCCGATTCGTTTCGACATTTTTCAATATTCTGATCAAAAAGATAACCACTTTTGCATTTCACTTTTATCGAAGTATTGTTTTCACAAATATAATATGAAGAGCAATCGTTCGGATCCACGATCAAACAAGACGTACAGGTACACGGAGCGGGTGGAAAATTAGTTGGGCAAACTGCAAATAAAATGTTGTATGAAAAATAACGTAATGAATACATTTTATAATGTAAATTAATTCTGTAGGTAGATAAGAAAGCAAATGACACTAGCTTATCGAACTACTAGCTACTTAAACGAATGGTATATAGTGGCTTGATGGACATTTCTGAAGGCTTGCATCATGGAACTGGATGTATTTAAATGCTGGCAACATAAATGGAGAATATTTAATAGTAACTTTCAAATATCAATATAAATGAACAAAGAAAAACGTTTTCAAACCCATTCAATAATAATCGGGTTAATTTGTTAGAAATAAACTAGACTGTTTTAGTTCAAAATTTACCCTCATAAATTGCAGTAAGAAAGATTAAAAAATAAATAAATAGGTTTTTGGTAATGAGAAGAGATTGATTTTATTTATATAACTAGAAAAAGTTGACAAAATTATTATGAAATTGTGTCTAAATAAAACTTTCATTTCAAGTCAATATATAAGACTAAAATTTATAATATTTAAGTTTTCTCGAATTTTAATTTATGTAAAATAATTATAAAAAATATTAACATTTTTCAATAAATTAAGTTTCAGATAACAAATACCTTTAGCAATAATTTTGTTACATCCCGTACAGAGTTTATATAAATTTTAAATTGCTAATACTGTTACAAAAGTCTATAAATGTTTAACATAACTTGTGTACTGTTTTAAATATTACCTTCTATTTTTACTTCTTGAAAACAATTTTCAAAAAATAAAAAAATTCAGGCAGAACAAAAATTTTTCAAATAATATTTTGAAATAAAACGAATATGACAGATTTATATACCATGGCCAAACTATATACATTGTGCTAATCTAATCTAGAAGTTCTCAATGCACGCACGTTCTAACAGACCTATTGCTCATTAACCACTACTGTAAGTCCAGCCATATATTTCTGTAACCAATCAGTGTGTTGTGAAGACTAAGCATGTTCTTTCAAATATTCCACCACAGTAATAAACGAACATCATACGTAAAAAATAAATATTTTAGAAACCTTACCTAATGATTTATCACAAGAAGCATCACAAGGCCATTCACATCGCTTTGTAACAGCGTTAAAATGCAGTTCAAGCGGACACGGTTGAATATACTCATATCCATTAACACATTGAAAAAAACTGCCGCAATCGTTCTCGTTGGGATATAAGCCATCGGGTAAATCGCATACCGGCAGAGGCGTTGTCGTCGTCGTTGTTGTACAGACTACAAAACCACGTTACAATTGTTAAATATGCATCTATGCTAGAATATATTTACTGACAGAACTGTCGTTACTCACCGATGGTTGGATCACACTGTGCTTCGCAAGGATATTTACATTCCTTCAGTTTTTCGCTAAAGTGTAGTCCTTCGGCACATTTATGCTCGTATTTGAAACCGTTTTGGCATTGTATGAAACTGCCGCAATCGTTCTCGTTGGGATATAAGCCATCGGGTAAATCGCATACCGGCAGAGGCGTTGTCGTCGTCGTTGTTGTACAGACTACAAAACCACGTTACAATTGTTAAATATGCATCTATGCTAGAATATATTTACTGACAGAACTGTCGTTACTCACCGATGGTTGGATCACACTGTGCTTCGCAAGGATATTTACATTCCTTCAGTTTTTCGCTAAAGTGTAGTCCTTCGGCACATTTATGCTCGTATTTGAAACCGTTTTGGCATTGTATGAAACTGCCGCAATCGTTCTCGTTGGGATATAAGCCATCGGGTAAATCGCATACCGGCAGAGGCGTTGTCGTCGTCGTTGTTGTACAGACTACAAAACCACGTTACAATTGTTAAATATGCATCTATGCTAGAATATATTTACTGACAGAACTGTCGTTACTCACCGATGGTTGGATCACACTGTGCTTCGCAAGGATATTTACATTCCTTCAGTTTTTCGCTAAAGTGTAGTCCTTCGGCACATTTATGCTCGTATTTGAAACCGTTTTGGCATTGTATGAAACTGCCGCAATCGTTCTCGTTGGGATATAAGCCATCGGGTAAATCGCATACCGGCAGAGGCGTTGTCGTCGTCGTTGTTGTACAGACTACAAAACCACGTTACAATTGTTAAATATGCATCTATGCTAGAATATATTTACTGACAGAACTGTCGTTACTCACCGATGGTTGGATCACACTGTGCTTCGCAAGGATATTTACATTCCTTCAGTTTTTCGCTAAAGTGTAGTCCTTCGGCACATTTATGCTCGTATTTGAAACCGTTTTGGCATTGTATGAAACTGCCGCAATCGTTCTCGTTGGGATATAAGCCATCGGGTAAATCGCATACCGGCAGAGGCGTTGTCGTCGTCGTTGTTGTACAGACTACAAAACCACGTTACAATTGTTAAATATGCATCTATGCTAGAATATATTTACTGACAGAACTGTCGTTACTCACCGATGGTTGGATCACACTGTGCTTCGCAAGGATATTTACATTCCTTCAGTTTTTCGCTAAAGTGTAGTCCTTCGGCACATTTATGCTCGTATTTGAAACCGTTTTGGCATTGTATGAAACTGCCGCAATCGTTCTCGTTGGGATATAAGCCATCGGGTAAATCGCATACCGGCAGAGGCGTTGTCGTCGTCGTTGTTGTACAGACTACAAAACCACGTTACAATTGTTAAATATGCATCTATGCTAGAATATATTTACTGACAGAACTGTCGTTACTCACCGATGGTTGGATCACACTGTGCTTCGCAAGGATATTTACATTCCTTCAGTTTTTCGCTAAAGTGTAGTCCTTCGGCACATTTATGCTCGTATTTGAAACCGTTTTGGCATTGTATGAAACTGCCGCAATCGTTCTCGTTGGGATATAAGCCATCGGGTAAATCGCATACCGGCAGAGGCGTTGTCGTCGTCGTTGTTGTACAGACTACAAAACCACGTTACAATTGTTAAATATGCATCTATGCTAGAATATATTTACTGACAGAACTGTCGTTACTCACCGATGGTTGGATCACACTGTGCTTCGCAAGGATATTTACATTCCTTCAGTTTTTCGCTAAAGTGTAGTCCTTCGGCACATTTATGCTCGTATTTGAAACCGTTTTGGCATTGTATGAAACTGCCGCAATCGTTCTCGTTGGGATATAAGCCATCGGGTAAATCGCATACCGGCAGAGGCGTTGTCGTCGTCGTTGTTGTACAGACTACAAAACCACGTTACAATTGTTAAATATGCATCTATGCTAGAATATATTTACTGACAGAACTGTCGTTACTCACCGATGGTTGGATCACACTGTGCTTCGCAAGGATATTTACATTCCTTCAGTTTTTCGCTAAAGTGTAGTCCTTCGGCACATTTATGCTCGTATTTGAAACCGTTTTGGCATTGTATGAAACTGCCGCAATCGTTCTCGTTGGGATATAAGCCATCGGGTAAATCGCATACCGGCAGAGGCGTTGTCGTCGTCGTTGTTGTACAGACTACAAAACCACGTTACAATTGTTAAATATGCATCTATGCTAGAATATATTTACTGACAGAACTGTCGTTACTCACCGATGGTTGGATCACACTGTGCTTCGCAAGGATATTTACATTCCTTCAGTTTTTCGCTAAAGTGTAGTCCTTCGGCACATTTATGCTCGTATTTGAAACCGTTTTGGCATTGTATGAAACTGCCGCAATCGTTCTCGTTGGGATATAAGCCATCGGGTAAATCGCATACCGGCAGAGGCGTTGTCGTCGTCGTTGTTGTACAGACTACAAAACCACGTTACAATTGTTAAATATGCATCTATGCTAGAATATATTTACTGACAGAACTGTCGTTACTCACCGATGGTTGGATCACACTGTGCTTCGCAAGGATATTTACATTCCTTCAGTTTTTCGCTAAAGTGTAGTCCTTCGGCACATTTATGCTCGTATTTGAAACCGTTTTGGCATTGTATGAAACTGCCGCAATCGTTCTCGTTGGGATATAAGCCATCGGGTAAATCGCATACCGGCAGAGGCGTTGTCGTCGTCGTTGTTGTACAGACTACAAAACCACGTTACAATTGTTAAATATGCATCTATGCTAGAATATATTTACTGACAGAACTGTCGTTACTCACCGATGGTTGGATCACACTGTGCTTCGCAAGGATATTTACATTCCTTCAGTTTTTCGCTAAAGTGTAGTCCTTCGGCACATTTATGCTCGTATTTGAAACCGTTTTGGCATTGTATGAAACTGCCGCAATCGTTCTCGTTGGGATATAAGCCATCGGGTAAATCGCATACCGGCAGAGGCGTTGTCGTCGTCGTTGTTGTACAGACTACAAAACCACGTTACAATTGTTAAATATGCATCTATGCTAGAATATATTTACTGACAGAACTGTCGTTACTCACCGATGGTTGGATCACACTGTGCTTCGCAAGGATATTTACATTCCTTCAGTTTTTCGCTAAAGTGTAGTCCTTCGGCACATTTATGCTCGTATTTGAAACCGTTTTGGCATTGTATGAAACTGCCGCAATCGTTCTCGTTGGGATATAAGCCATCGGGTAAATCGCATACCGGCAGAGGCGTTGTCGTCGTCGTTGTTGTACAGACTACAAAACCACGTTACAATTGTTAAATATGCATCTATGCTAGAATATATTTACTGACAGAACTGTCGTTACTCACCGATGGTTGGATCACACTGTGCTTCGCAAGGATATTTACATTCCTTCAGTTTTTCGCTAAAGTGTAGTCCTTCGGCACATTTATGCTCGTATTTGAAACCGTTTTGGCATTGTATGAAACTGCCGCAATCGTTTTCGTTGGGATATAAGCCATCGGGTAAATCGCATACCGGCAGAGGCGTTGTCGTCGTCGTTGTTGTACAGACTACAAAACCAGATTACAATTGTTAAATATGCATCTATGCTAGAATATATTTATTGACAGAACTGTCGTTACTCACCGATGGTTGGATCACATTCTGCTTCGCATGGAGTCACACAGTATTTGAGTTTTGCACTGAAATGTTTTCCGTCTGGGCATTTGTACTCATATTTGTGACCATTTACAGCTTGTATGAAACTTTCGCAGTTATTTTCAATGGGATATAGTCCATCCGGCAGATCGCAGGCAGTAACTGTTGTAGATGTTGTTGTTGTATCGCAAACTGTTTAAGATTAATTGTGTTTATACTTATTTATGAAAGTTTTATGAATTTATTGGTTACTGTAGTATGGTATATTTCTTATAATTAGAAAATTGAATCGCTATAATTAATTTGTTCAACTAGTTTTAACTGGGTTATAATTCTTATACAGAAACTTTGATTTAATTGAATTGATTTGATTTAATTCAATCAATTTAAACACGATTAAATTGATTGAAATTATTAAATTAAGCGGTTGTCGTGTTTTGTCGCTTTCAGCCACGCAAGCAACTAAACCTTAGCAGCTACGAGTTTCACACGCAGATCAGTGGTCACATACTTAACAAATTCATCAATGAAATTCAAGCACTGAAATGACTGAAAAATGGACCAAATTTTTTACATCATTCGTCTGTACGGTCTACTTTTAATAAAATGAATTCTTCGGGCATTCTTGATTATTAATCGATTCTATAATTCTTTTCCAATTCGTATGTATTTTAGTTAAGATGAAGTAAATATGAAGTACTGTACATAAATCAGCACACCTCCTCTGAAGTATCTTATAAAGTATCTAACTTTCGCAAAAGTGTACAGAAATGTGCGCGTGTTACATATTATACAACCGGAGAATAAGGGGTCATTTAAATATGATGCCACCGGGGCGAATCCTGACCAAAATTCCAACAGAACATATTCTTATTTAGTATAATGCTTCTACACTAATAGAAGTGCAGCTAGAACTTGATGCGTTGCGTGATTACTGATCACAATATTTCTGCATAATAATTTTCATTGAAAAATTATTACAAATAAAAAAATTTTTGAGTATCTTTAGGTCATCAGCATTTTACTAACACGACTCACCCGTTACAATCGCCACAAGTTTTATATATATCCATCTGTCCTAGTGTACACGTCATATTTCAATGATTGTAATCTGTTACGACCACGTTTCCCTAGAAATTCTGCATTCTTATGATATAAATATTACACTTTATTTGAATTTAAGCTGTCCATAAAATGATGTTAAATTTAAGTAAATGGAAATGGAAAACAAACATGGAATTCTTCTTAATTTTCTCTGTTTATTATTGCAATTGCAAGTTTAAACTAGGCTCTGTTAATTGACATTTCCGTTGTAATATTAAAGGTTGTTTCATTGTATTACGGAAAATGACCCAGATCATTACGCTATATATGAGTGCATATATAAGTGTGCACTCATATATGATGATATAACAGCGAAATGTAATTAAATATGGTAGGACTGGACTCGTCAATGAGCTAATAAGGTACCTCTAACTATACAGGTATACGCATCCGCCATTTTGTGCTACATTCTGGCAATGAATTTTATGAACAATACACATGTTGCCGTGCACGTTTATAAATTTTCCAAAGTCCATGACATTAATAATTTAAAATGTCAGGTTTAGTGCAACAAAATACATTCATTCCGATCGAAAAAAACAAACAATCTTTCATTTTCCGATGAGAAAACAAAGATTACAACACTGAATGTATATTTATGGAACTGCATTAAGCAATATAATTTCATACAACATCAACTTGTATCTTTATATTTGTTATGTTAATTCTTAAGCTAAGTAACTGATGTTCAAAATACTATCATTAGTTTGATGTTAATTTAACTTTATATGAGATCAAATTTACTTTTTCTAAAAAACAATTTATCTTTTCTGAAATAGAACCTACTTTATCCAAAATTGAAATTGAAAAGATTTACAGTATATAGAGGTGTATGGTAGCGTTACTTTACTGACGTGACGTACTCAGTACACCACAACAGGTAAGTACTGCAAGTCACACACAGTTAACGCTTTCCGCATCCATAAATATGTAAACCAGCCTTTACGAAACATTAGTGCCTTACTAAAGTGCTTTATTACGTTTTATTTATTTCTTCTCATTCTCCCATCTTGAAATTGCAAATAGCCCAACCGTATTTTAATTCAAGAATAAAGAATTTTTTAGTTTCAGTTTACGTGCTCTAAATTTTGTAAACTATCACTGACCAAATGATTTCCTACTAACCAGTTAAATATAAAGTATAATATATATTTTAGCTGTAACTATTAAAAAGTTATGCAATCAAAAATTTTTATTACTCACCGATATTTAAATCACATTGAGCATCACATGGATGAACACAGCTTTTGTTTGCTGCACTGAAATGTAATCCTTCTGGACAATAGTGAACGAACTTGAAACCGTTAGCACACTGAATGAAACTCGCGCAATCCTCTTCGTTTGGATACACGCCATCGGGAAGCTCGCATACTTGCTGTGTTGTGGTTGAGCCCGTGGCAGTGGGTGGCATAGTGGGCGTGGGAGCTATAAACCATAATAGCTTTAAATTACTGCAAACATTTATAAATCTATCTACAGAACTTTCGGTACTTACTGATACTGGGATCACACTCAGCTTCGACCGGAGTCGTGCACGTTAATGACTTTGCACTGAAATGCATTCCTTTTGGACAATAGTGCACGAACTTGAAACCGTTAGCACACTGAATGAAACTCGCGCAATCCTCTTCGTTTGGATATACTCCATCGGGGAGCTCGCATACTTGCTGTGTTGTGGTTGAACCCGTGGTAGTGGGCGGCATAGTGGGCGTTGTAGCATTTATTGTACAATCTGAGAAATGAAAATATTTATTATCTATCATTAGTTAAAAAATAATCTATTCTCAATAAAATGGATATATCCCAATTTTGATAAATTTTGTTTCAAATATTTGTTAGTTACTGTAATTAGAATTTACATGTAATTAGTTACGAAAGGTAAATCAATGAATATAAATGGTATTGCGTGTATATGTTAACAATATTTAACTGATTAATATGATTATTATTTGAGGAAAATATAAACATGTTATTTAATTATATAGTGATTGATAGAGTTTGAAATTACATTATTTTGTTTGTAAGGTTTTGAATTGTGTGAAGAACATTGCGTAGTGTAATTTTGTTTGATTTTTTTACTTGTTTCGTATATTTAATTCCTGGCTGTTATATACACAGGCCATTTATTACAGGGGAAAGGTTTTTCTGTATATATGGATATTTGTGTGTGTGAGGGGGTACGATTTTGTTTAATCATTTTGAAGCTTAATAACACCTGTTTCTCGTTGAAAATGTTTGAAATTTTGCGGGAATGTTAATAGAAGCATTGATGGCATTAAATGCAAACTTATTTGAATTCCAAAACTGTATTCATGATTGACTGTTATAATGTCGAATTTAGAATCAAAATTAATAAATATTTTTAAGTTGAATGAGATTAGGGTTGCCCTAAGTTTAAAGTTTCAAATCGAGATATTATGAATGAAGTAGCATTGTGGTAAAATTTGACAGATAGCCAGCATTAAATAAGCAGTAGCTACTGTGGAAAATAAGCGAATAATTTTAATTAGACTAATTTATTAAATTCGCAATTATTGAACATTTTTTTCAGTATTTGTTGAACCGATTGCACATTAACTAACATATTTCAATGAAATTTTTGTTACAAAACCTGGCTTTTCCCATTGTGGACATTCCAAATCCATTGTGAACATGAATAAAAATAAAGACCTTCTTAGTACTCAATGCGGTAAGAGTAAAAATATATAAATTAATTAAAGAAAATAATAGCTAGACTATGGCCAGACGAAACCATAAATCCATTGTCGATGATTGTACGACACCATTGATAATTTTGAAACCATCACACAGAGCCAACAGACAACGGCTCGTGTGTTACAGATTAGAGAGTCACTAAAAACCGATACTTTTTTGTTTTTTCATGCATATTGCCAAACTGAAGAATAATTAGGACCATTTTACATGATCATATCAATCGGTGTATCAATAATGAATAAAGTTATCGAACTAACATTACCCAAATGTAAACATATGTTTTGAAAATATAATTTTTTGAACAGTTATACAATGATAGAATTGAAAGGAATTAGATTAGCACAACTCTATTGTTAACAGGATACGTCTGATGTACTGGGGCAAGCCACTACTAATTTGAGGTGGAGAATATATATTTTAAATTAACAAATTATTAAAAATATAATTAAAAATTGTAGCCCGGCATTGTGACGATGTCACAATAAATAATTATCAACTTCGATTTATTCTGGAACTTGCGGATATTGCTTCAAGTTGAAGATCAAGTTGAGTCTATAATATTCACTCTATTAGAATTTTTATTATTAAAATATAAAAGGAATTATCTATATAATAAATGAAGAAAATGATAAGAGGATATCTTATGGCAGTTTTTTTTATGCGTTTACTTAGCTTATCAACTGTCTGAGACAGACACTACAATTATTATTTATATAAACCCGCGTTATAATTCTAAAATTGTATCGATAATATTTGTTTAAAGTTGAGCAAATATTGAAAAGTGTAGTTGCTTTCGCAAGTTATCATGCTAATACAGGTATTAACAACAAGAAATGACAGTAGATATAGCTAAAGAAATGTAGACAATATACTATTGCATTTCGATTTTACTGACGTCGACATAAAAGAAGTAAAGGCCAAACTCTGTTTCCAAGGCATTCGTCAGAGTTTAAATACAGTATTGGAGAATTGTTAGTGAGCGGAACGTTCGCTAGACAGCGCGTCGGTAGCTACTAGTGTTTACGTCCTTGTTTGTGTGTATGGTGTTTGTTTCCTTCGTATTTATCACTGTCTCTCTTATCATATCTCGTATAACCTTTTTTTTGTAGTTGACAAAGCTTTGTTTTGTTTTGTTAGAATAATTGGATCATTCCTTCACCTTATTAGTCCGTTATACCAAGGTCTGATAATATTTACACAAAGAAATCAATAGGGACAAGCTACCAGTATAGGATGTTTCTATTTTCTAGAAAATAAATAAAGTTGATTATTCGAGAGTGATTAATTGATAAACACGACCGGCCATATTTACACCATTACCGGCGGGCTTCAACAACATGAATGAGGGATAGGAACAATGCCCAACCCATACTATTCATGGTAAATAATGAGGTTCTCAATCATATCAGTGAAAATTGCATTAATTAATGGCAGCTACCCTCTATCAATAACAATATATCTTAATTTTCAATACTACACCTTAGGTTTTTCATAATACAGAAAGTAACAGATAGATAGATAACCAGCACAACTCTAATATAATAAATTTGAATTTCCAAAACGTACAGCGAAAAATATAGCCCACCTCGTATAATCTTAGAATAATAATTTTTGTACAGTATAAAACATGAAATGAATTCTTACCTAAACTCAGATTACACTTCGCTTCACACGGCTTTATACACGCTTTAAGTGCGGCACTAAAATGAAAATCGTTTGGACAAACGTAAACGTTCTTTAATCCATTTATGCATTCGATAAAGGACCCACAGTCTTCTTTGTTAGGATATAGACCATTGGGTAGATCACATTCCGGGATAAATTTTTGCGTGGTGGTTGTGGTGATAGAACAATTTACATTTTCCGGATAATCACAGTTTTCAATGACTTTATTAAAATGTAATCCCTCTCCACATTCATGGTGATAAAGTTTTTCGTCCAAGCATAAGAAATACTTTTGACAGTCATTGGGATCTGGGGTAAAGCAACAATCGCAATTGCATTCACCGATTGGTACGTCAGGTGTTTCGTCTGGTTCCTTGCCTAAAGTTATAACCAATAAACGTATAATATGACTAAGATTTATTTTACTTTTGAAATTTCATAATATTAAAAAAAAAATGCTCTCTTACCGCATCCGGCATTATCGGGCCAATCGCAAACTTTTAATTTTGGATTATAATGTAATCCTGCCGGACAGTCTTTCACGTAAGGCATCCAGTTCGAACAGTGAACGAATTTATTACAATTTTTGTGTGGAAATAATCCATTATGTTTCGGACAATTGCCTTCTGGTCTTTCTCCGCAATCGACATTTTCTGCAAGATCGCATTTTTCTGTACTGATGTTAAAGTACAAACCGGATTGGCATGTCTTGTGTTGAGCATTTCCTTTCGTACAATAAATGTACGAAGCGCAATCTTTCGGATCCGGCAATAAACACCCTTCGCAGATATCGCAAGGTATATCTGAAGTTGTATCGTCTGAAGTCGTATCATCATCATCGGGAATCCATTCTGGAGATTTGTAAAAATTTATATATTAAATTATTTTCATGAATTCCTTAATACTTTCGAGAAAATTCTTCTTACCTTCGCATCCGGCACTTTTCGGCCAATCACAAATTTTTCTCTTTGGATTAAAATGGAGTCCGGCAGAACATTGTTTAACATGCGGGTACCAATTAGAGCAATGAATGAATAAACTGCAATCGGTGGGATGTGGCTGCAAGGAATTACTATCCAAACATTGGTCAGATTTATTTGAAGATGGACATATTACACTTTCGGCCAGATCGCACGTCAGTGTTAATGGATTAAAAAGAAGGCCGGTAGAACATTTAAACTTTTTTCCTATATAATTAATGCAAACAGTGTAAGAAGTACAGTCGTTTTTATCTGCAATCGTGCAATACTCGCAATCACATTTTACAGTCTGATTACTCGAGGGAGGATGTTCAGTCTTATCTGAAATTCAAAAAAACAAAAAATTGTATTATATTAATTATTTATATAATCATTTAAAACTTAGCTCATATCTTATATGATACAACTGAAAATGTACTTACTGCAACCAGCAGACCAGGGCCAATCGCAAACTTTTAAACTAGGATTGAAATGTAAAATTCCAGAGCACGTTTTATTATGTGGAATACCGTTTACACAGTGTATAAATGAATTGCAGTTTTCTGGATGAGGATAAAGACCATCGGAAGGACAAATCGGTTCACTTGTTCCGCATTTTACGTTTTGACTGTAATCACAATCTTGAATATCTGGATTAAATAGAAGTCCATCCGGGCAGCTTTCGCGAGTAGATTTATAATTAATACATTTTATATAAGAAGAACAATCATTTTTGTCTTGAATTAAACAAAATTCGCAATCGCAGTCTCCATCTTGAGGTGTTTTATCCGGAATAATTGGACGTTTATCTGTAAGAATATCTTTTCGTATAAGCAATTTCATTTGAACTAATTAAAAATTTACAAATTTATGTATATTATATACATTGTTACGTACTGCATGTTCCAGGCCATCCGCATCTTTGCTTTTCGGAATCGAATTGAAGGCCTACGGGACATTTTTTAATTGTTGGATGCCAATTTATGCATTCAATATAATAGCTGCAAGATTCGACGTGAGGGAATCTTCCGTTCGGATACGGGCAGTGAGAATCTTTAGAACAATTTACTCTTTCTTTAAAATCACAATTTTCGATCATTGGATTGAAATGTAATCCTTTTCCGCAATGCATTTTGTACTTTGTGAAATTTAAACATAAATAATAAGCCGTACAATCGTTTGGAACAGGATAAAAACAGCAGTCGCAGTCACAAGTTCCATTTACTTTCGGAGGTGGTTTCGGCTTCGGTACTACATCACCTGTACGAACAGAAACATTTTACAAACATAAGGAAAAAAAACATTTCAATACCACAATATAATAACTATTTTAGTAAAAATTATACTTACCACAGCCTGCATCTTTTGGCCAGTCACATATTAACAAAGATGGATTAAAATGTAAATTCTCTGGACACCATTTGTGATGAGGAATACCGTGAGAACAATGGTAGAATCTGTTACAATCGTTTGTATCGGGAAACAATCCAGAAGATTCTGGACATATGAATTTATTTGGATACGATATTGTTGTACTTGGTGTTTCTTCAGTTACTAATTTTTGTGTCGTAGAATTTATTTCGTCAGTGTTTTTAGGAATTGTATTTTCATTCGTATTTTCTGAAGAAATTGTTCCTACACTAGAAACAGTACTTTCTTCTACTTCGAAATCTGTACTTTCCGTTGTTATTATATTTGTAATGGGTTTTACTTCTGGAGTATCTTTTTTAGTGATGTTTTCGGGTCTCCATTCAGTAGACAGGGAAGTTTCTTTAGTTGTTATATCTGCAGAAATAAATATAACATAATATTACATTTAAAAATTATAAAAAATATATATTTTTTTTCTAGCCTAGAATTTATTTTCAAACGAAATATTACAAAACTCACCGCATCTGACGTTTTCTTTAAAATCGCAAAGCAAAGTATTAGGATTTAGTAAGAGACCTTCAGAACAAATTTCTTTATATGGATTCCCATAATTACACCTGTAATATGTTACACAGTTTTCTCCGGGATATATACAACAGGCGCAATTCTTATCCGGACACACAAAGTCATCGGTGGGTGTAGCAAACTCGTATACCGGAGACCTCGCATAATTGACAACTATGAACATTACACACATTGTCATAAATCCAGACAGTTAAAAGTCGAATTTTAAGATACAAGAGAAAAGTAACATACCTGTGGAACAAATCGCATTAGAAGGCCAATCACAATTAAAAGTCAGAGAATTAAATAGAAGTCCCGCAGAACACCAACGATGTTTTGCTAATCCATTGGTACACATAAAAAGAGCTCGACAATCTTCGGGATTTGCAAAAGTCCCATTTTTTTCAGGACAAACGAACTGAATGGAAAATGTTATTTTATCTGAAATGAAATAAAAATTAAAAAAAAATACACAATTGTACAGTACGGTTAGATTAAAAAAATCACGTTGGAGGTATCACCGTACTCACCAAAGATGGCCACAAAAAATAAAAAAATAAATAAAATGTTCATTTTAAATTATGAAAGTGTGCAGACTAATATTTTTCAACCTTTATATACTGTATACGTGATTACGTTATAAAATAAATCCCTTATCATCTTAAGCAAATGCATAAAATTATGACATCATTTGTATCATTGGTAAATTAAACAGATTTAAATAAAGTACTTATTCCGGTTTGTTTATCTATCGATAGTGGGAATTACGTTGTATTGTATGTGCAGTGACAGACTATCAATTTCTCGATTTGTTAACTCTTATTTTAATCTTGCTCTTCGAGATACACCCAAATTCCATATTCTGTGACAATAATTATGAATTATTTTCGTGTATAATTGCAATTCGAACTATTGTTAAGAGCTTTAAACACGAGAAAATAAATTTACTATAACTACAAATATAAATAAAATTACGGTATATAATACAATAGAGCTTAATTCACACTACAGTTATTTCTGCATATAACTAAATGTACTGTACTGTAATATCATAATAACATATCTACGTGTGCCAACATACATCTAGTTATAGTGTATATTTAAATTGATACAGATTATACAATGTATAATACAGTTATGTGTATTTGATGCTCGATATTCACAGTACAAGTCGTCCCCCCTATAACACTGTTGATAATTCCGTTTTATATGAATTCCATGTTGTACGAGTCACTTAGATTTTACAAATACGTGTGCCGGGATGTAAACGGCTCATGTATTTGTAAAATCTAAGTGACTCGTACAACATGGAATTCATATAAAACGGAATTATCAACAGTGTTATAGGGGGGTCGACTGTACAATTATGTATTTAATACAGTATGTACTAAAACACTAAAAGTTTTAGTACATACTGTATTAAATACAATTAAAAATTGTAGTCCGGTGTTGAGGCGATGTCACAATAAGTAAATTAGTATTTTTTGTAATTATATCATTCCTTATCATTTCAACAAACCAAATGGAAATTACAACTTTTACAAAGTAAAATATAAAATGTAGTTATAGTGGAGGTATCTTTATCTACCGCCAAAGATCGGTTTGATTGACATAACCTTGCTGTAGATATTGTCCGTCTTCTCTATTTGCATTGTTATCTTTTATGGATTTTCTAGATAGGGCAAGTGGAAACGAAATCATTAAGGATGTAACAACACAGGATTATGTATATTTTAATAAGTTAATCCGAGCAGCTTTATCGACCAGATAAATTCGAGGAATGATTACGATTCGTTACGTATTTGGGTTATTAGGATGTATCGATATAAAATAATTTCGTTTTGGCATTATTCGTTGTTAACCGGAATATTGCTTTGTGCTCTGAAATAACGATGAAAGATAGCGATTCGAATTAAATTCGCTAAAATTAACCTATAATTTCTAAGTTCCTGTTCCCTATAGGAATTCCTTTCTATTCTAGATTAAATAAATATAGATAGGTTTAATCTATATAAATTATATATTATAAAAATTTAAGTTCCTATTTAAAATGTGTTGTTGTAGATAAGTAGAAATTTTGATTCCGTATAAAAAATGGTGTTAATATATTTTATACGGAACTTTTCCGGTTATTATATATAACTGGGGGAAAGTATTAAAAATAACCCCCAAGGCTTTTACATCTTCGGGGACCTTGAAACAATGAGAAATGCAAAACAAGTTGAGGTGTTTTTCTGTTTGTATGGAGTTAATATGGGGCACGACTTTTTCATTCAGTATGAAGCTTAACTCTTGTGCCTTTTATCGAAAATTTTCATAAAGGTTTGTGTATTGGGGAAGTGTTTCTGGAAATCGGACCGGGAGATATTGTCCCACCCCTTAATTAATCTCCCCAACCAATCCGAAGAAGACTTATAAAGATAACGTTGCTGTACAAGTTCGATCACCATATTTGAATCGAATGCCATCGCAACGGAGGATTTTTATCTCCATTCGTTCAATAATATTTTTTACTTTATTTTAACGTTAGTCAAGCCAAATTTACGACATTTATCTAAATAAAACGATTACGTAAAACGTTCGCGTGTGCCGGAATTTTTTTTTACGAAAACTTTTCTTTTTTAAAATTTTATAGTCACTAAAGTATAAGTGATATACGTACTTTTTGCAGGTTGAATATATCTGAATATTTCTTTTTGTTTTATGGTAAATTGTAACATACGTGTAAAAAATAAAGAGTGCATTTTTTTTTAATTTTTCAATAGGGAATACAGTTTTTATTGTTTAAAATTTTACCCTTTCGATGGGTCTAACACGTGGTTTTTTTTAAACTCTTTTCGTCCTGTGGGCACTAAGAGGGCCTCATTTAAGCAAGCCCATTATGGGTTCGGCCAGATCTACAATGGAGTGAGGGACGGGGCTCGACATACCCGAATGGACTACTCCACTAAAAATTTGTGGATTTTTCGACCCGTCCGGATTCGATTCCGGGTCCTCCAAAGCGGTAAGCTGCCACCTTGACCACTTGGCTGTCTGGTGTCTGGTACCAGAGGGAAAGAGACAGGGAGTAGCATTTTAGGTCAATGTAAATTTCCGCTCCGAGAGAGCTTTTTGCATGCCCATCGAGATATCTGTATTCAATGGAAAGGACTAGTGATGCGAGAGGGATTTGTTTAGTTCCTTCAAATGAGACATAGACTGTAGCGGCAATACTAACGGTACTGAGAGAGAGTAGGGCACTATTGTACAGTTGGAGGCATGGTTAAAATTAGATAAACTGGTTGGGGAGCTGTTATTTTTCTCACTCTTCGTTTTCATTGTATGGACAACTGCTCCCGATAGGACCAGCCATATGCACGCTTTGGACTAAATTGGCTAAAGTTGCGTTAGCGCGTGTATTTTTAAAGGGGTTTTTAGTTATTTCAATTTTATTTTTTCAGTTTTTGTAACACACGATTGTCCATTCGGCTTCAGATTGTCGATTTCGGCCTCGTATCTTTTAAAGATACGAGGCCGAAATCGTCGGATTTTATGAAGAGGGGTGTAAATTTAAAATCTGTGAATTTCTAGCAAATGAGATGTAAAAATGTCAGGCACAGAGTTGATATAACAACGATAGTAGTACATTTTTACATCATATGCAGCAAAGTAATGTAAAAATGTACAGCAGCAAGATGGAAAACGAGATATTTGGCAAGAAAGATGGAGAAATCGGCAAGAAAGTTGTTTCGCTTGCATTAAATTCGTAATCGTAATAAAACGTTGGATAATTTTATGTAAATATTACTAATAAACTGGATATTGAAGTATATACGTACTAAATTTATTTATTTAACTTTTATTGTTCTCACGCGAATAGTTTTATTTAAAAAAAATCATTTCTGACTTTCGCTTTCTTATCCATTATCAGTTAAAGGTATCATTTATCTCTTTAGACTATGACTCATTTATGGAATTTCGGTGTTATAGAGTAAGCCAGAGAAATGATAAACTTTTTATAATGTTTATAATGCAGTGTATTATATAAAATATACGAGAATATGCTCTGCTCCCAAACCAAATTATCTAGTAACCATAGTTGAAGGTGGCGTATCTTTTTACATTCTTAGGGTTCTGCGGCAAGTGAACATGTCTGAAAAACCTTAAAAGTACTGTACAATAAAGCACATACTTGCATTGGACGTCTGAGTCTGTTTTATTTGAAGGAACCAAATAATTAATCTATTTTGGATCAATCGACACTTACAAAGTCCTTAACTGTTACGATCTGTTCTTTCACGGATCGTCCATATTCATAAAAGTACAGAACGAAATGACTCGGTGTGGAACGATCTTTACCCGGAACCACCCTCCTCTGCTCAAAATATGCACAGATCTATGCTGATGTTCATTCCCTTCGTCGCAGATAACTGAAATGAGTAATGTAGAAAGTTTATGCTTATCAGTTAATGTAATTTATCTGCAACGTGTTTATGGCGATTGCAATCGGGGATGATGATAATTTGCAATACGATGATTGCAAATATCATTCAATTATATTGGTGGTTAATAGTCCAGGGAGTGAGGAGATAATGGAGGTCGTGTATCTTCAATATGATCGGACTTAATGACGATTTTACTGGTTATTAGCATTTACAATCTTTCACTCATCCCTACCCTCAAAATTAAGCTTTTTGTAGTTTTATAATAGTTACAAGTTTTTTTAAATAAAATATGATAATAGATGGCACCACCAAATGTTGCCGGGAAAGTTAAGCAACTCATTGCTGGATTTTTTAATACTGCAATCTCAAACTTTTCAAAGCACAACTGCGAATTTAATAGCTTATATTGAATAGGTTCGAATGAGGAACTGTTTTTATGCAAATTGCTTGTGCAGAAATGACACCTGTATTACATCTTATGCAGCATAATCTCTCCAACTAAATTTAACGTTTTAAAAATCTTATAATTATTTGTGTAACTCGTTGCTTAACTTTTCAGCAGCAATGTAGTTTGTGGATCTGGCGTGCACAGTCTCTAAAATTTTGAGGACTTGTGACCAAGATATATCTTAATTATTTATACAGTATATATATATTTTTATGAAACTAAGTTTATTTGCAAATAGTAAAATTATAAAAAAAAAAGAACAAATTAAAGCTTCATTTTTTTTTGGAGAACAAAATGAACAAAATTATCACTTAAAAAAAGGCATTTAAAATACAAATTTCATTTTGTAATTACAATGTTTTTTTACACTGGAAAAATAATCAAGATTCGAGGAAATTTTAAGCAATTATAAAACTACTAAACTGATTTTTGTCCACTGTTCAAAAGTTTAGTGTTTGGAGACTCGTGTTTCCCCACTGTTTGCCTTCCTTTTTCTTAATGCCGATTACCTTCATAATTGCTGTTATGGCCGTCAGAGGATCGTCGAATTCCCTCGTCTGGTTTTTGCTGCAAGTCCAATCCGGTAAAGTTCTCGGAAAAGCTTGGGATCCGTTCAAACGATGGACCGTCGAAGAGCAGAGAGAGGCTGCGGAGCCTTTACTCTTCTGCTGTGACTTGTTGAGCATTTGCTTTCGCATAATGAGATAATGGAACGAGGCAATCTTATCCACAGTTTGTTTATTTTCTTTAATTACCTAAAACAAACTCTAGATTTAGTTAAAACTATACAGAAAATTGGCAATTTCATAATTTACTTTATTTAGCATTACTTTACCTTTGCTCTATTTGGATCCTGGCATAAAATCCATATTAAAGTACAGAGTTTGCTGAAAATACCTGCTCCTTTTTCTCTGTAAATCTTCATTAATTCTAAAATTGTATCTAGCATTCCTTCGGTGTTCCATACGGCATCCACAGTTTTAGAATACTGAAAGAACAACATTCAATTTTTAATTATGTTTTTGTTATTATTTAATTATGTTTTTGCTATGTTTAAATTTCCTAGTTTTAAAAATAAATTAATAATACTTTTGCCAAATTTAAGAAGATATTTATGGTGTATTTAATAAGTTCCATATGGGGAACACTACGATTGCAGTTACGGAGAATATGCATGAGAACATCCAAGGCTCTCCCTTCGGTCATTTTTTCACAACAAATGGGTGAAAGCTGACTAGTTTTATCTGAAATTATTGGTTATCGTTTCATTATTTTATATCCAACTAAATATATTTCATTAACTGGGTAAAGTAAGTTCTACTCTTAAGAATTAGACTTGGCAATGCTATAAGCTGGCCATGCTCGTTAATTCCCTGCCATACGTCACGAGAAACCAAGAAACACTTCAACCCCGAACACTTGTTTGCCACGGTCTAGTGGTACTATGTGAAACTCTGACTGCATTGCCAAATCTACTCCTCGCGAGTAAACTTCTCGCTCAATCACTCTTACATAGCACTTACCTAAATTAATTAATGTACTTAAAATGTGAGTTAGAGACTGTTTCCCTAAAAGAAGATACAAGGCATAATTGGTTCTGTTGACTAATTTCATGTCTTCTGTCGCAGCGGCTGTTGCAGATTTTACTCTCAATCTTGCTTCAATTATTTTCTTGTTGGTGATAAGGCACCTTTGTTTGTATCCTCTCCAAGCAGCCTAGAAAAGATTTTTTAAATAAAATTTAACATTTATTAATAATAAATTCATTTTAAAAAACTGCCATTAAAATTTATTAATTAAATATACTTATTTTGATTCCGATAAAACCGTGTTTTAATTTAATTTGCTTTATTCAGACACAATAACGTGACTTCTTTTAAACACTTGGCAGATTACATTAAATATACTTATGTAAAAATTAGAATTCAATATCGATGGTTGAAATGAAAAAGGAATTTATTACAAAGCATGAAAGCGATACGCATGTGGAGGATCTGGCAGCTATGTTTTTTTTTCAATTCAATTCAATTCATTAAGCGTATAAGGCTTTCGCCTGTTACAAGGGCAATGTTTGTTAATACAGCATATTATTACAGAATGCTTCATTTATCTATCTTTAAACAAAACTAATAACTACTCCTTATATATCTTACAGTTTTAACTTTGTATATTACATAAACATAACTCAAACATATTTGTATATTTCATAAACATATACTTTGTATATGTCCTTAACAAATATCTACAATATAACATACATCATTCGGCAACAACCCCTAAAAATATTATTGTTTCATTAACTCTAGTACTTTGCTCAAATTAGTTTATTTTGCTGGTTCACACTTTCGTTAACGTAAGATATTACTCACAATTCATTTTAAATAATGGTTCATATAGTTATATATTTTAAAAATAGTATTAATATTTGCTCTATCAAGGATCTTATACATCTCAGATTCGTTGGAACACTTGGCTATTACACTTATATCATACATTTGATTGATTTCGTTTACTTTATCACATTCACAGAATATATGGAATTTAGACATTGATTTATTGCATCTTGGGCATATGGTTTGAGAGTAATCCAGGAACTTATCATTGAAAATAATCCCATTTTTATTTAGTCTGAGCTGTATGAAGAATTTTTTGACATTAAATGCCAGGTTCGTGAACATATAATTATTATTCATTGGATAGTTTAAAATTATTTTGTACCAGAATGGGTTTTTTCATTTTTGTATATCTTCGATGTCTTGCACAATCGATATTTCCATTACTCTCTTAATTAATAGTTTACTTTGTTGTTCATTAGTGGTCGTATGTTCCATAAAAAATTCCATAGAGAACCCATATGTGTTTAGAATTTTTGTTAGATGAATTATCCAATTTCTATTTAATTCTTTATTTCTCGATTTATGGTATAATATATATAGCACCTTCGTAGTTAGGTCTCCTGCATCAATAACTTTTATTAGGAATTTAATATATCTTTTCATTAAAATGGTATTTAATTTATATCTATTCAATTCCAATCTTAGAGAGCTTCCTGGAATATTATATTCTAGTTGAAAAATTCTACGTATAAATCTGTTTTGTACTTTTTCAAAATCGTTGAATTTACTTAAACTCCAAATTGGCGACGCATAACCCAGCGAATTCATAATGATAGTATTGAAGAGTTGGAAATGTATTTGTAGATTTTTCATTTTGGTCTTACAAAACAGGATTATTAAATTATTTATTAAATTGTTAGCCTTATTTATTGATCTTTTATAGTGTTTATCAAATGAAAGATTAGGAGTAAATATTACTCCCAAGAATTTGACTTCATTAACTGTTTTTATTTCTTCAGCTATGTTTAAATCGAAAATATTAGAAATGCATTTGCCTAGAAGTTATTACTCGATGTGCCATTAAAAAGTTTAATTGAAAGTTTTGAGTCTGGCATTTTAATATGCAATTAATGAAGTAATGCAATTATAAAAAAAATTTATCATAATTAACAAGGTTCCAAAAACAGAAAACTTAAGTAAATATTACAAAAATATCATTACATGATGGGAAAATGATACAGTATCAAAAATTTCTTCCAGAAACTACAGAACGGTAGCAGTTTTATCACCAAAAGAGGTGCATGTAACAGATGTCTGATTCACTTACTCTGCGAGCTCTGACAACCCATTGTAGATTTGGTTATGTCAATAACGAGGACAATCACAAATGGTGAGGAACGAATATATTTGGGTTGACTCACCCATGTAAAATTTCCGAACTAATTTAAATTCAAACTCTAAGCTGGGATCTCTGAAGCAGATGCCTTTACTTCAGTGTCCGTCTGGCTGTCATAGTATGTCAGCTAACAAAAGCCATCCAATATATTAACATAGAGGCAGTTATGAATTACCATTTTGCATATGCTGGATTGATAATGGAGGAGAATGTTTTATAATTTATGTACTATTTGATTGACGAAAGGAAATACGTGACACTGGTAAAGAACACTGTTCTGAAATTTTTTTGATGATGTTTGTCTCTATTATTTTGGTTTCATGATTAAGTTAGTCACTTTGGGATAATTTTTGTGTTTAATAAACATTATTCAGATAATTGTATTCTATCTTTAGACAACAACAGATATAATCCAAACCAGTAATTTTTTGTTCTACACTTATCTTCATATTGAAATCATCAGTTATTAAAGAGAAATATAAAAACAAATACAAAATTTTGTTGTAACAGCAACAAATTTCAATTTAGATTGAATTATTTAGCCTAATAAATAGGGTTGTAATAAATTGGATAATAAATTTGAGGGGGGTCTTGGTACCCGAAATGCATTCCTACTAAAATTTGATTGAGGTTAATTAAAGGCTATTTTTAGTAAAATCTAATCTATTTATTCCAGTCAGCCCGATGTGAAAAGCCCTCCAATTTATTACAACCCTATTTATTAGGCTAAATAATTCAATGTAAATTATACTTGTGGGCTAGAAGTGTTATTTAATATTAACAAATTTCAAGTTTGATCACAATATATTTATATTTACAGATCTTAAAATTTATTAAATTGATGATAAATGTAAAATAATTTTCCAATTTTACAAATATTTCATTCTATAAGCAGTAAAAGAATATTAAAAATGATCTTTACCTGTATAGTAGTAGCAGATCTGTAAAGTTTATTCAGATGCATTCTCGTTAACCACGACCTTGTGACAGCCTGTATAGTGATGGCTGCACGATGCCTAACTTCCAGGTAATTTCTGGCCGCTTTCTGAAACGCAATTATACTTTCACGTAACTTCAGATACCGAATTCTTGCAAGCTTGGCTTTAAAATAACGCTGAAAATAAATTATGTGCATGAAATGTAAGATTAGTTAACAAACATTTAATCATTACAAAACTTTTACTTACTTGAATTACAATTACAGCATTTATTTTTATTTCCATTAATTTTTTACATTTATAATGTTTGTAGCATCTCTGAATACGAATGGCATAAATATGAACGTGAACGCAGCAGATAAATCTGTGCAATGCCACATGACGTTTCGCTTCGGGCAACTGATAATAAGAACACAATATTCAAAACTTTGTTTTAAAAAATGTAATTATTAAATAAATAAATAAATACCCTGATATCTTTTAGATCTGTATAACAATTATAACTACTTTGGAGAAGATTGCTCAAACAGTTTTCTTTCACTTGAGTAATGTCGATATTTGTTAAGGAGCATTTCTTTAAAATCTCCATTAGTAATTCTCGTTCCTGTTTTTCTTGCAGTCTTTTCATTTTAATTCTTCGATACCATGCCTGAATATGCAAAATGGCTTCTTCTATCCTGTTAAAATCACTATATTTAGCAATTTGTATTACAGAAATAATGTGTCATTGTTTCTATGTAATTAGCTTGTTTATAAACATTCTATATTTGTAAATTCTGTTAATAGAAACTAAACAACAATCAATTTTTTTACATAAAACAGAAATTAAGTACTTTAGTTACAACAGTCAGATAACAAATGCAATAAGTGCCAGCCTATTGTTATAAGAGGTTTTCATTTGGATCAAATTCCGAAATTTTAACTAGTGGTTTGAAAGGAATACATTGGGATATATCTTTGCTACTGGTTCTAATTGTGGAACTAGCCAAAACCATGAAAGGCATGCATATAACAGACCTCATAATGCCACGTTATGTTAATATAAGATATAGACAATTTTAAATTTGAGTAAATATTTTTCTTCATGCAATGTGTGTAAATTTTTATTACAAATTTCATTTAATTTTATCTTATTTATTGGGTTGCAATTTCCAGATTACAGACCTATATCTTCTCACTGTCTGTCTCCCTGCATTAATCTTGATAACGGAGTTAGATTGATGATAATCAAGACTAGATACAGAAAGCTTAGGGGACGGAAGTCCCAATTAACTGTATACAAACTTACAATCTGGATTGGAAGTCACTTGATTTCAATTAGACATTTTCTGAAGAATGGTTAGATGACCAGCATGACTTGATGTTATCAAAAGAAGTATGATTTAAAGGGGCAAGACACCACTAAAATCCAGATCATATAAGGAAAGCTTAGGGGTTGAATATCCCAATTAACTATATATGAACTTCAGGTCTAGACCAGAAGTCATGTGACTTTTACTTTTAGTTAATTAAATGATGATTAAAACTTTTAGCCCGGCATTGTGACAATGTTACAATAATTTAATTATTTTTGAAAATATTACTTTAGCTTTTACTTTAAGGTGATAAACAAATCAGTCTGTTGTTCTGGGGACATAGAATCAAATCTAAGAAAGAAACTGAGTGGTCTGTCCCAGATATGTAGATCCCCCATTCTTTCTACTAAACTTCCCCCATTGTGAGCCTGGAGAAAGGTCCTCAATGCCTACAGTATGGAGGGAGAAAAAAAAATTTAATAAAATAAGCCAAAAATTGTTAAATTAGTGGCTAATTATACATTTATAGATTGAATCCTTTTAAATTTCAATGTATTTCTATGAGATAATCCATTTTAATTTTTGCAAATCTTTCTGTGTGCACTGAGAAAAGTGTATATCACAACTGCACTATACATTTTCATCATATACAGTAGAGCGTTGATTTTCCGAAAGTCAATCATCCNTATAAAACGGAATTATCAACAGTGTTATAGGGGGGTCGACTGTACAATTATGTATTTAATACAGTATGTACTAAAACACTAAAAGTTTTAGTACATACTGTATTAAATACAATTAAAAATTGTAGTCCGGTGTTGAGGCGATGTCACAATAAGTAAATTAGTATTTTTTGTAATTATATCATTCCTTATCATTTCAACAAACCAAATGGAAATTACAACTTTTACAAAGTAAAATATAAAATGTAGTTATAGTGGAGGTATCTTTATCTACCGCCAAAGATCGGTTTGATTGACATAACCTTGCTGTAGATATTGTCCGTCTTCTCTATTTGCATTGTTATCTTTTATGGATTTTCTAGATAGGGCAAGTGGAAACGAAATCATTAAGGATGTAACAACACAGGATTATGTATATTTTAATAAGTTAATCCGAGCAGCTTTATCGACCAGATAAATTCGAGGAATGATTACGATTCGTTACGTATTTGGGTTATTAGGATGTATCGATATAAAATAATTTCGTTTTGGCATTATTCGTTGTTAACCGGAATATTGCTTTGTGCTCTGAAATAACGATGAAAGATAGCGATTCGAATTAAATTCGCTAAAATTAACCTATAATTTCTAAGTTCCTGTTCCCTATAGGAATTCCTTTCTATTCTAGATTAAATAAATATAGATAGGTTTAATCTATATAAATTATATATTATAAAAATTTAAGTTCCTATTTAAAATGTGTTGTTGTAGATAAGTAGAAATTTTGATTCCGTATAAAAAATGGTGTTAATATATTTTATACGGAACTTTTCCGGTTATTATATATAACTGGGGGAAAGTATTAAAAATAACCCCCAAGGCTTTTACATCTTCGGGGACCTTGAAACAATGAGAAATGCAAAACAAGTTGAGGTGTTTTTCTGTTTGTATGGAGTTAATATGGGGCACGACTTTTTCATTCAGTATGAAGCTTAACTCTTGTGCCTTTTATCGAAAATTTTCATAAAGGTTTGTGTATTGGGGAAGTGTTTCTGGAAATCGGACCGGGAGATATTGTCCCACCCCTTAATTAATCTCCCCAACCAATCCGAAGAAGACTTATAAAGATAACGTTGCTGTACAAGTTCGATCACCATATTTGAATCGAATGCCATCGCAACGGAGGATTTTTATCTCCATTCGTTCAATAATATTTTTTACTTTATTTTAACGTTAGTCAAGCCAAATTTACGACATTTATCTAAATAAAACGATTACGTAAAACGTTCGCGTGTGCCGGAATTTTTTTTTACGAAAACTTTTCTTTTTTAAAATTTTATAGTCACTAAAGTATAAGTGATATACGTACTTTTTGCAGGTTGAATATATCTGAATATTTCTTTTTGTTTTATGGTAAATTGTAACATACGTGTAAAAAATAAAGAGTGCATTTTTTTTTAATTTTTCAATAGGGAATACAGTTTTTATTGTTTAAAATTTTACCCTTTCGATGGGTCTAACACGTGGTTTTTTTTAAACTCTTTTCGTCCTGTGGGCACTAAGAGGGCCTCATTTAAGCAAGCCCATTATGGGTTCGGCCAGATCTACAATGGAGTGAGGGACGGGGCTCGACATACCCGAATGGACTACTCCACTAAAAATTTGTGGATTTTTCGACCCGTCCGGATTCGATTCCGGGTCCTCCAAAGCGGTAAGCTGCCACCTTGACCACTTGGCTGTCTGGTGTCTGGTACCAGAGGGAAAGAGACAGGGAGTAGCATTTTAGGTCAATGTAAATTTCCGCTCCGAGAGAGCTTTTTGCATGCCCATCGAGATATCTGTATTCAATGGAAAGGACTAGTGATGCGAGAGGGATTTGTTTAGTTCCTTCAAATGAGACATAGACTGTAGCGGCAATACTAACGGTACTGAGAGAGAGTAGGGCACTATTGTACAGTTGGAGGCATGGTTAAAACTAGATAAACTGGTTGGGGAGCTGTTATTTTTCTCACTCTTCGTTTTCGTTCTATGGACAACTGCTCCCGATAGGACCATCCATATGCACGCTTTGGACTAAATTGGCTAAAGTTGCGTTAGCGCGTGTGTATTTTTAAAGGGGTTTTTAGTTATTTCAATTTTATTTTTTCAGTTTTTGTAACACACGATTGTCCATTCGGCTTCAGATTGTCGATTTCGGCCTCGTATCTTTTAAAGATACGAGGCCGAAATCGTCGGATTTTATGAAGAGGGGTGTAAATTTAAAATCTGTGAATTTCTAGCAAATGAGATGTAAAAATGTCAGGCACAGAGTTGATATAACAACGATAGTAGTACATTTTTACATCATATGCAACAAAGTAATGTAAAAATGTACAGCAGCAAGATGGAAAACGAGATATTTGGCAAGAAAGATGGAGAAATCGGCAAGAAAGTTGTTTCGCTTGCATTAAATTCGTAATCGTAATAAAACGTTGGATAATTTTATGTAAATATTACTAATAAACTGGATATTGAAGTATATACGTACTAAATTTATTTATTTAACTTTTATTGTTCTCACGCGAATAGTTTTATTTAAAAAAAATCATTTCTGACTTTCGCTTTCTTATCCATTATCAGTTAAAGGTATCATTTATCTCTTTAGACTATGACTCATTTATGGAATTTCGGTGTTATAGAGTAAGCCAGAGAAATGATAAACTTTTTATAATGTTTATAATGCAGTGTATTATATAAAATATACGAGAATATGCTCTGCTCCCAAACCAAATTATCTAGTAACCATAGTTGAAGGTGGCGTATCTTTTTACATTCTTAGGGTTCTGCGGCAAGTGAACATGTCTGAAAAACCTTAAAAGTACTGTACAATAAAGCACATACTTGCATTGGACGTCTGAGTCTGTTTTATTTGAAGGAACCAAATAATTAATCTATTTTGGATCAATCGACACTTACAAAGTCCTTAACTGTTACGATCTGTTCTTTCACGGATCGTCCATATTCATAAAAGTACAGAACGAAATGACTCGGTGTGGAACGATCTTTACCCGGAACCACCCTCCTCTGCTCAAAATATGCACAGATCTATGCTGATGTTCATTCCCTTCGTCGCAGATAACTGAAATGAGTAATGTAGAAAGTTTATGCTTATCAGTTAATGTAATTTATCTGCAACGTGTTTATGGCGATTGCAATCGGGGATGATGATAATTTGCAATACGATGATTGCAAATATCATTCAATTATATTGGTGGTTAATAGTCCAGGGAGTGAGGAGATAATGGAGGTCGTGTATCTTCAATATGATCGGACTTAATGACGATTTTACTCGTTATTAGCATTTACAATCTTTCACTCATCCCTACCCTCAAAATTAAGCTTTTTGTAGTTTTATAATAGTTACAAGTTTTTTTAAATAAAATATGATAATAGATGGCACCACCAAATGTTGCCGGGAAAGTTAAGCAACTCATTGCTGGATTTTTTAATACTGCAATCTCAAACTTTTCAAAGCACAACTGCGAATTTAATAGCTTATATTGAATAGGTTCGAATGAGGAACTGTTTTTATGCAAATTGCTTGTGCAGAAATGACACCTGTATTACATCTTATGCAGCATAATCTCTCCAACTAAATTTAACGTTTTAAAAATCTTATAATTATTTGTGTAACTCGTTGCTTAACTTTTCAGCAGCAATGTAGTTTGTGGATCTGGCGTG